TGCCAGAAGGCAAACATCAATCAGAGTTTGGGGAAGTCGTCGAGGTAAGGCAATTGACTTACCAAACAGTTAAGAGAAAGCTGCAATCTAAAGGAATATGAAATGATAGGGGATAAGGGGCTTGAAGCAACAGGTTATAAAAAATTAATCAGCACTATTTTTATTCATAGTTATACAAAGCCAAAGTTTTGTTTCGCTCTATAAAATTACCAAAAACATAAGAACAATAACTATACTAACCTTGATAACATTCCTTATTGAGCGAAAAAACTATAGACTTTCATTTCTACACTTTTGAACAGTCTCTATTAACTAAAGATTTTGCTTTCTACCACCTTCATTGATCTCTCCCAGGAGGAGTTTTTTCCATCAAACAGGTCCTGCTCCATTGGTCCATTAGACAAATTTGAATAGTTTTGCCCTTTCGATGTGTTCAATGTATTTTTTCGTTGTTTCATTCGGGGTTTTGTGTAGCTGGTTTTTCTTTGTGGATTACATTCGAAGGCCCCAAGTGCCAGCCGCTGGAACAAATATTCGTTTTTTTGGGCTACCCCCGTTAAACTATTTTAAAACAATCAACATAGAACTACAGCTGCATTGAAGCACACTGCATTTTCGAAACTTTTTAGACCACTATTACAGCGAATTTTAATTGAAGCTGCCTTTAAATGAACTGAGAGGTATAAAATCGTGTGGTCGCAGTTTAGTTGAAATTGCAAACTAAATATTTAGCTTTTCTGTTACGCAAACTGGTGCGGGAGAAGAGGAATTGAGGAGCAAACCCCTCAGATTTCTGGGGCTGCGGCATTGTGGGGAAGTTTTTCAATTTCTACTAATCCTCAGTATGCGTAGCCAGCTAAAAAAATAAAAAATCAAATTGAACTGGGTGGCAAAATGGACAGGGAAGGTTGTTGATTTTGGTCAGGTCGTAATAGCGGATCGAAAAAAAATTGCAAGCATTTTTATTCCCCGGTTTTTGTTTGCTCGCCGCATTGAAGACAGTATTAAAAAAACGCTAGACTTATTTTTTTTGTATGTCCTGAACCCACATAAAACGAGAACGCTGCACGCAAATATATATGTATGTTTGCATATGCGACCTTTTCTATTTTCAACAGGTAAAAATGTAAATATGCTCTAAATATCGTTTTAATAATGTATATTAGTCTATTGGCTTATTTTGGTAATTTTTAAATATAATTATTGAAATCTGAAGCAAAGCAAGCGTACAAAAACTAACATTGCCACAAAATCAGTTACTTTTTCCTTATAAATAAATAGATAAAATGCAATTGACAAACTTGTTTAAACAGATTAAAATAATTTTGAAAGTTTATTTGTCGTAAGCCAGCTGTGAAATATATTTAGAAGTTTACCCACTACCTTATTTATTTGGTTAATTAGCACAATCGACAACTCGGTATGGGTGTCAAAGTAATCACGATTCAGCCATTTTATTTTAAACTTAGAAACAAGTTTAAATCTATAAACAAATTTACTTTCCCCAAATTTATAGGGTGTTTTAGCTTATGTTTCTTTACAAAAGCCTTTCCCATTGAGCTGTTTTTTCAATGGTTAAAGATTGGTAGACTAATATATTTATTGGTAAAATGGATTTATGACAGCTTCAATTGGTTTATATCATGATTGAATATATTCTCTCGTCTTTTACTGTTCGCATACGGCTTTCATTCATTCTTTCTTTTCGTGTTTCAGTATGATTTTCATTTTCGTTATGATTTCGATTTCGATTTGGCGTTTCGTTTTCAATTTCATCTTAAGCTGGCTTAAAAAGCTGAAGAGCACTCGGTGTTTTGAACCCACTTCTTTTACAGCACCGGTCAAGTGCGATAATTCGGTTAATTGCTGTTGGATGATGCAGCAACAAATTACATCGATCCATTGCGTGACTTCTCCGACACAATTCTGAGCGAAGAGGCATATTGTATTCAGCACCGTCACCATCGTCGACCTGCAGTTGGTGTAATTGTTACAATGGCCCGAAACACTTGACATTGGCCCCTTACACTGGCGACATTGAAAGCCGGCTTTGAAGGCCCCAGAAACAATATCACAAATATAGAAAAAATGGTGTTTGTAGAATGGCGGAAGGGAATGAGGCGCAGCCATGCGATGGGGTGGGGTAATCGCTAACGAAAATATTGACAGATTCTTCGGCAATCAAATAGTGCAGAGCAAATGGGTAAACACATAAGCCGATCTCCGATCTTCGATCTTCGATCTCCAAACGCCGATCTTCAGGTCTTCAACGATCAATGACCATTGCCAGGGCCCAAACATCGAACATCCGGCTGTGAACTTCGAACACGTCTGAAGACGCTTGGCCCAAAAGGCGTTGCGTCCAATGTGTTAATGCGGTTCGATTGCGTTCGATTGACCATCGAACTTCTTTTAGCTGCCTCGCTAATTTTTTGTATAAATAGTTAAAACGATTTCAACAGCAGCAGCAAAACCCAACCACAGCTTGTACAGATTGGGCAGGTCAGAACCAGATCGCAGGGCAAGTGAAGTAAACGTTTAAATTACAAGAAATATGGTAAGTCACAGTGCAGAAATAATGTGTAATAACTAGCGATGCTAAGGTTTTTCATAACAATAAGCCCATAAAATTAAAATAAAAATGTTTAATCACTCTTGCTAAAAGCAAAACCCTTTAAAAAGTTTAAAAGGTAAATTTCTTGTTGATAATTTTAATTGAGTATGTCTTAAGCTAAAACATTTAAAGGAAACATTTTTTCGAGAGAATTAAAATGTTTTTAAATCAGAAAATACAGGAGACCGAAATTTGAGCTATGATGACTTCGAGTTTTAGAATTCCACTCATATAGACACCAAGTTAGAGAAGTTCAACCATAAAATTTTTATTTATTTATTTGTTGCTTTTTTAATTATTCTAGCAAGGATTCCAAGTGCTTTGCCTGCTTTTGGCTTCTATGAGCCTGGCCAGCTGTCGTTCGGTGGTGCGTCGTGATGTGAGCCACCTGCCGCTGGAGTACCTGCCTCCAGTGGTGCTGCCACCTGTGCCCAGTCGCGATTATCTGCCGCCAGTGGAGCAACATGCGGCCACCTTAAACCACGTGCTCCAGCCGCCCCGTGATTACCTTCCCCCCCTGCCCCTCAACAACGAGTATTTACCGCCTGTGGTTGAGGAGGAGGAGCAGGAGGCGCCCACCACCACCGAGGTAATAATTCCAGAAGAAACCACCACAGTGGAGGCCACCACCGAGGCAGTTATCGTCACCACCGAACCGCAGCAGGAAGTGGAGATAATCACAGAACCGCAGGAGGAGGTGGAAGTTAAGAACCTGGAGCAGGTGGAGCAGGCGCCCAAGGAGGAGGAGCCGGAGGTTGAGTCCGCAGTGCTCCTGGACGACGGATACCACTACCGCACTCCCTCTGTGGTTCCCAATTTGCTGCCCGTGAAGGAGTACCTGCCTCCTTTGGACGACAATGCCGTCGTGGAGGAACTGCCCAACGGCGAGGAGGACTCCTCCGCCCTGCTGGATGATGGCTATCACTATCGCTCAGTGAAGCGACTCCGCTTCTAGTCCCCAAAAGCCAGTCGATTTATTTTATTTCACTACGAATTTCTGTTTCTGTTCTGTGCGACACTTGTTGTTTAATTTTACAAAATACATAGACAAATACTTTGCCCAAATTGATTATTTCATACGTACTTTGAAAAGGGAAGACAAGCTAGAAGTTTTAAGTCAGGAAAAGCGAATAAGGGGCACTCAGTTATAAAATTAAGGGGAGTTGAACTTCATTTCAAGCATTTCGGAAATTAAATCTTAATTAAAAGTTTATAAACCAAAAATTGCCCAACGAAGTTACTTGGTTTGCTAGACTTGAAACATTCGAAACATTTTAATTAGTTAAATAAGTTGGTTATTTGCTTTATAAATAGATTATAATAGATAGATTATAAGTTTAAAGATTTCCAAAAATTTCCTGTAAAAAAGGCTAAGCTTATTTAAATGATTTTAAGTTGCTGAAAAGTTTCAGCGTCATCCCCCATCACGAATATACCCTCGTAATCCTTGCTTTACCCCTTAACAAGTCGATAGCTGCCGTGAACATTTCATTTATATTGATGACAGGAAATTAGAAAAATGTTTTCACAATGCGCACGGAACGTGGCAGAGCACTCTTCACCAGGAGATATTGTCGCAGTCCTGCGAGGTCCTTGTTGCGTGATCCTGGTGGGTGTGGGTCTCAGGTCTCAGGACTTAGGTCTCAGGTCTCGGCCCACTCTCAATTGATTTGTTGGCGCTTGTGGATGGGTTTTATTGTTTTCTTTACGTGTTGGCGCTTGGCATACATTTTCATTAACCAATCTCGAGAAAGTTTTCCTCTTACCTGCGGCGCCCTTTTCTCCTGACAAGTTCGAGCCAGTTCAATAATTCAACAATTTTCCAATTGGCCGTATAAATATTTGAAAACTTTTAAATGTTATTGCTGTTCGGCGGGGTGTTATTGCGTTGAGCCTAAATATAAATGGGAATTTTATGTTTCCGGCGGTTGCTGTTTCTGAATTTACTTATGAATAATTCAATACGAGAAAACAGAAATTGCTTGCCTACTTTTACGCGCAGTTGAAAAAAAAGGAATCAACAAGTGGGTACAATTGGGTGGATTCTTTGTCTGCGCGTTCTTTTTTTCCCTTGAGATGTGAAAAACAAATAAAAATCGAAGCCGAAAAGCTTCAAGTGCAACGCACTCTACCGAGTGTTGTTTTGTTTTCTGTTTTGTTGATGGTCATAAACCTCAACAAATCGGGGCCAAAACAAACACCTGTAAACAGTATCTGATTGAAAGAATCTACCATGTTTCGTTGAGTGTTGAAGGCGGGAAAAGCTTGGGGGAAAAGCCTGCCGAAGCTTTGGCCATTCAACATTCGACGAAGCGACGACGAGGAAAATCGTATAAAAGCCAACCGCCGAGGAAAATTCAACTTAGTTGCGGGTTTATTTTTGGCGAATGCGAACGGAACGGAATCGGTGGAAAATGCAGCCGGGCTAAAGAAGACAGTGCGAGCAAGTGAGATAAAGATATTCGGCCGAGCAACAGTGAAAAGCGTTTGAAGGGCCATAGATACAAGATAATGCCCCATGGAGCAGTAGTCCTCCTCTCCGCCAACCGATATGTGAAAATCACCCAGTGAAGCCAAAGTGAAAGTGTGTGAAAGGTGAGAGAACGAGGCAGCATGTGTGATAATGGATAAACAAAACAACTCTAGATAATAATGCAAAGTATCAAATTCTTTAAAGCTGTTTTGGAGTAAAACCATAAAACGTTGACTCAGAAATTGAAATAACTAATAAAAAACATTTAAATTATAATATCATTATTATACCAATAAAATCATTTGTTTTCGTATAAAATATGTTTATTTTGATCTATAAAACTTTAAGTAAAAAAAAACGATCAGAAATGTTGTTCGTATAAATTTCAAGCAAACGGAAAATCAAAATTAATTGAATTTGAAACTTTGTGTAATAAAAATAAATAGTTCTAAAAACGTTTAAAACATGTACTTCTGATTGCAAAATAAAACTCAACTTAAAAAATAAAAATCTTTTAAAATATGCAAGTATTACTCAATGAGTAAACTTTACGTGAGCACACAAAAATGACCAGCCACAAATCATTTGTAAATATAAATCAAAATTACCATAAACAAAATCCCTCTATAAATAAATATGAACTCAAGGAATAAATCAAAATTAAAAATTAATTAAGGTCATAATAAATAGCAAAGTAAATTGAATAACCGAAATAGCTGTAAACCAAATTGCCTTGCGAATTCCACCGAAAGAAAACAAAATTTACACACTTAATTTAACCGCACAACTCTTAACGTTTCTCTGCCTTTCGCAATTAAAATGCAATTAATTTGGCAACAAATTTGCTGTGTAAAGAGTTAAAGCCGTCTTCGAGTGTTGCCTCTAGTTGGACATTTTGCAATTTCATTTTCAATTGTCATTCCATTAATCCTATCTGAACTATACTGAATAGCAGTAACTATTCAACGACTAGTTGGCTTAGCAGCTCCATTGAATTGCCATCCGCTTAAAATGCATTTTCCATTATTTTTCCTGCCAAAGGGCTTCTGTTGTTGTTTGGTATTTGTTGTTCGCCTTCGTGATCCTCAGCTCAGAAAAGTTTATTAATAAAACGTTTTGCCTAACAAAGCACAAAATGATAAAATAAATGCGATGCGGACAGGCAGCTTAGAGGGGTTGAGGGGGATTTTGTGGGTGGTTGGTTGTTTAATGTCATTGTCAACGGATTTTCATAGATTGGTAAAGTAGTTTACGGATTACCCGTGGGTCTGGAAAGGTCGATTTTTTTTTTTATATTTTAGACAGATAAACATTTGATTATTAATCATTATTAAACTCCAATGAACTTTTTTTGGACAAGAATATAAAATTTTGAAAAATATGTAATTTGTAAAAAATTGTTATAGTATTCTAACTATTTTTCAAGCTTACAAAACGACCTGGTAACATTGGCTCTAAATCTAAATTATTAACCTTGGCAAATAAAGCGAATATATAGCTTAAAGGAATTTTCTGGCATGAAATATGGTGTCTATTCCCGCAAAAGTGTGAAATCAAAACCTTCTACTAGCAATTACAAAAATGAAATATTTTTTTTTAAGTAAAATACGATTTAGAGTTCCGTTTGTATGAAAGACTTTTTAAAGTGTTTTTGCCTGATTCTATTCAAATAACTATAAAATTATCGTATTCCCATTCGGAAACATGGTTTTAAGCGTTCATAGTTTTGTTAATTAAATTAAATTAATTTCATAATACTTAAACTATTTTAATAAAATTCTTCTGTATTAATCATTTCAAATACCTCTCCCGCTGAGTACACCCAATGTCGATCAATGCCATGTGTCAGCGTGCATCTTTGTGCCTGTGGCCGTGTGTTTGGCACGCTTTTTGTGTTTATTAATAACAAAGTAATCAGAAATTGTAATCTCCTCGCGAAGCGTATTACATCAGTAATAACAATGGCAACATTGAACCGCCAGCCCGTCAGCCCGTCAGCCCGCCAGCCCGCCGTAACCCCTCCGCCCATTTCAATCGCAACACCCCCTGGCTTCCCCCCACCGACATTCCCATTCATTTGGCGATTTCAATGCGGGTTTATCTTTGCCGCTTGGCTGTCTTCACGGGCTGCATCCTTGAATCCTTGGATCCTTGATTCATTGTTGTTGCCGCCGCCGAGCACGCTTCCGGCTCAAGTATCTCTGTTTTTGTTATGATTCCCCCGCAGTGTATATATTTTCATATACTTATTTTCTATAGATTTGCTGTATATTTCTGTTTTTATTATTTTCTAATTTGACGCTTCATTTGTCCACGAATGATTTCGTTTTATTTTGTTCCCTAACTGAAGGGAATTTTGTTATTTATGTGGATAAAGCTGATTCATTTTCTGTTTGGATTATTATTACTCATTAACCGATTAATTATTTTACTATTGTTGTTTTATTTTAAGGCTAACTTTTTTTTCTGCTCTTAATAGTATTATGTTTAATTGCAATAAAGCTTATAACTTTGCTGTGTTCGTCGGAATTTTTATTTTATATTTTTAAGTATTTCTATAAATTACCTTAAATTCAATTTTATATTAAAATAGTTCACACATAACCATTGAAAGGGTGTTTTATGTTTTGGTTCTAGAAAGCCTCATCTACGTCTAGTTGTTTTCCTTTTGTTCTTCCTGTTTTCTAATTTGACTTCTGCTGGGCGCTGATTTGCGCTTTGATTTTCGCTGACTGATTGGGATTTAGTTGATGGGAGCGTTAAGGGACGAGGGCTGGATCGGAGGCCAGGGAGGGATATCGGGCTATGTCCTATTGATGACTCGATGGCGTGTCTTTATGCCTCTCAATCATTTTGTTTGGCTCGGATTTGTTATTTGTACACATGCCTTTTTATGTAATTTCACCTATGTCAGTAGGGGATTTTTTTGCCACCTGCAATTTCTGTTTTGCCAATTTGCCCATTTCGTATGCAAATTGCCAGCCATTTGGTGTCAGTCTCAACACGATTTGACCCGTCTTCCCCTTTTCATACCGTTTTAGCCACTGGGTCAAAGTAATAAAGCAAACAAATTAATTTGATTGTTTTCACTTGATTCGCAGCTATTTGACCCTTCCAATTATTTCAGCACTTTGTCTAGTTTTCTCGTAGTACTTTCTCCATTAAATGTAACTAAAAATAATAGATATCAAATAAAGTTCCCTGTTTTTATTTTGTTAAGAGTTCATATGGCATTTTTACGTGTCTTGTAAATATATTCTTAAAAAAATGAGATGAGTGTTTGAAGCAAAAATGTGTGATTTATGTTTTGTTTTGGATTTTCTTCTTAAAATTAGCATTGCAAAGAATTTTAAACAAGTTTAATTAGGACAATATGATTGTTATTAATTTTATCAAGATTGAAATGGTTTCTAGGAAAGAACATATTTTTTAGTTTTTATTAGGTAATGCAGAATTGAATAAATAAAAATTTATTTCATAAAATGTACAATTATTTCCACAAATTACTTTAATATTGCGCAAAATATTTCCTTGTTATGAAGTCCTTGACTTTTAATCGCTCTTTAATAGACTTCTTCCATGTCTTTTTCTATTCCTGCTCCAATTTCACAAAATACCAAATCAACCTTGTTTTGCAAGAAAATTCCCTATCAGCATTTTTGTTATGGTGTTTTGGTTACAAGCTTTAAAGACCCTTTTGGCCGCAGAAAATACATAAAAAACGAACTGTCAACCATAAAAATCTCGTACAATCAACAACATCAAGAACAACAACAATCAGATGGCGACTACAACAAATCAGTTTAATTTGAATTTCTTTTTTCCTTTGGCGCGTGTGTGTGAAAAAAGAGAAAGTTTTTACACAGTTTATTTTATCAAGACCTTTTTCCATCGCCCACAGTAAACAAACACAAAGTAAAGAGTAAGCTATTGAAAGGGGCCGAAAAGGGCAAATTAAATTTGAAATAATTATTTGAAATATTTTTCCTTAAAACGGGCATTTCATTTGGTATCCAGACAGTTCGTCGTTAACAAAAATGCGCACATTTTAAAGTTCAAAATTTGGCAGTGAAACAAAGCGAAATAAGGGAAAACAAACAAGAAAAAATGCGAGAATTCTTCAGATGTTGTTCTTTAATGCATACGAAATACTCAAATAAATTATCATCAGCCTAATCAACATCAGCGTTATTATCAGCAGCAGGAGTAAAGGAAGGGAGGAGGAAAACTTTTCGTCTCGTAAGGTATGTATGCAAAATTGCAGGAAATAAATTGTGATTTGTTCCTTTTAATATAACCAAAACATTAAGTAACCTGTGGAGGGCGGTTGGGGTTGTCTTTCCGATTCGCTTGCTCCTTTGTGACTTAGTTCATTCATAAGCTGTCTGCCACTCTAAGCACTTAATTATTTAATTATCATATGCTGAACGTCACACACACGGGTTTGTCCAAAAAGTAAAAGAGAGGAGTTTTTCCGCCAACCAGCACTATACTTTCCCCCAAGTTAACTTCCGTTTGCGTAAATTTTAGTAAGCTCATACTTCTGCCCCAGACTCTAACCCTTGGTCACTATTCCGTTTTTGCCTGCTTCCTCCTGCGGTTCCCAGTGCAATGTGGGCTTTGGTTTACTTCCATTTCCGTTGTACGTGGCGTATGCGTAATATGAATATTTTTGTAAATTATTAAGTATACGTAATGAGATAGTAAATTTGGTCCCCAACCACAGGCAGGTAGTGCGGTTTAGTGTCAGAGATGAAAATTGCATATGTCTCCCGGGTGGGCGTGCGTGTGTGTGAGCCAGCAATTAGTTAAACACGAAAGTTTATGCCCCATCGGAGGAGGAGTTGCGCACTTCCTGTGACCCCCGACCTCCTGTAGTTACCCGCCTGCTCTCTATGACCCCTGATCTCTTAGGCTCGTCTTGGTCTTAATGGGGATTTATGCTGGCTCATCTGACTTAAGATATGCTCGTTGGCAGGCAGGTGGGCCAAGTTCTAAGTTCTTTGAGCAACTTTGAGCAACTAAATGTCCTGGTGCGGCCAGAGATGGCCTTAAAAGTTTCTCTTCGGGTGTCTCAGTTATCTGGCAGAAAGAGAAAACTTTATGGATTACAAAGAATTTATAATTGAAGTGGGTGTGATGTGAAAACGTTTTAGGAAATCGATGGTTCAACGCAAATTAAAAACCCATTTTAATCGAGGACTTCAAAGTTAAAGAAAAACTTTTGCTGTACTTAAATATCTTTGGAAACAATTTCAATTATTTTCTTTAACTGACGCTCGCCCTACGTGTACGGCACTTAGCTCCATGTTCCATCTAATCTATGCCTAATTTATGTGAACACATTACTAATTAGTTTGAATGTCATTAGCCCAAACCTTTACACGCATTTATTCGACTGTAATTCATAAGATTTCCATAGCCAAATGTGTGGATACTCTGCCTTGGAATGTGCAAATATAAAATACCTGGACGGATCCAAGTAAATAAAACGTTATGAACACACATAATCCATTACAGTTAATTTAGAAAATAAAAGGCATTTGTAAACCTGCTTCGACAAGAGTTTCCTATGTCTCTTTACACAGCAGTGTATGTATCAAATTACTTACATACACATTCAGATGTAGCCACGTTGGTCATCTTTAATTACTAATTGAATATTCGTCTGGCATCAGGCATATATCTTCAACCTTTAAAAGCCAAATCCAATCAGCTGTTGAGCGTGTTAATTTATTCATGGAATTCTTTTTCTTGCTCTCCTTCACTGACCTACGGCGCTTCGGCCACTGCACTCCCCTTTTTCCCGAAATCAGCCTGATTAGTTAGAGAAAAATCCTCTTTTGTTTGCAGTCCACGCACGCATTCGATGGAAACTTCAAGGGAAATACCCCAATCCCCAATCTCCGATCCACAACTCTAGCAGCTGAGCCATGCGTTCAATATGTTTTCCGTTCGTCCGATGCTTTCTTTTTTGTTTTCTAATCTGAGACCGTTGACCATCTGAATTTGCTTTAATTCCCCGGGCATCCTTTGACACATGAGTTGGAAACTGTGAGTCCTTGGACTTTCCGCACTTCGTTGCTGAGATACAAACATATAATACAGAGTTCAAGTTCAACTCAATTACTAAAATACAAAATTCAAGTTATACTCAATTACTTGACTTGGGCCATGACTAGGCCTTTTTGTGTGTTGTTAGCCCCAAAGTTAAGAGAGTACTCTTCTTTTCCGGGTGCAAATTGTGCACCTGACTCTATAAAAATTGTTTCGGTGCGGCTTTTCCGGTTGCCAAATTAAACAAAAAAAAAAAGAACAACGAACCGAAAACGATTTTCTGTTTACTCAGCAATTGTCCATGAAAATGCACACAATATTTCCAATATAAACGCCAAAATGCAGCCAGATACGCAAGAATGTGTACTTATGTCTGCCATATAAACAATCATAAACTTCGTGATTTACGCACCATTCGCAAGCATCGAAATGCAATCGAACGGAATTCGAATTGCAATTTTTTGACTCTAATCAAAATGCAGTTCGCTAAATAATGTGAGCCAGTTTATTGAAATGAAAAAGAAAAACGTAAATGAACGCGATGTAAAATTCCTGCAAACTGGGAAAATTTTATTATTTAAAACTGGAGAAAGCCAAGAATTTTTTTTTTTTATGTTTTAAAATCACTAAATAAGGTAAACGTACGGACAAATTTTGTTTTTTAAACATGTTTCTTAGTCAACGCTTTTATGTGTAAGGAAAAATAAAATCATATCATAATCATATTTTGTATTGCCTTTTTGAACACCTTTTACCATCCTTTGAGAAATGCGTTTTTGGTTGTTGAGCAATCAATGCCTCGAGAACTGCCTTCAATGGTGACGTAGGCTGAGACAGCGAAGGCGAAGGTTTCTGGGTCCTGGCTGGCTGCCAAATCGGCACTTGACATTGCCCAGTGACTCGGAGGTCCTCGGAATGTTCCAAGCGCCGAATGACCAGAGGATGGGCCATAACCAGCCTGCTGCATAATTTTAATGAAATTGCAACCGGCTCACCAACAATAAACAGGCATGGGAGGACCTAAAGGGGCCCTTTCTGAACCGCAAACTAAATAAGTATGCAAAAGGGCAGGGAAACACTGGTGACTAAAGCCTCACGACGGCACAGGGCTAAAGTCACCGGGCCAAGAATCGGCCAGGAACTGTGAGCTCTGGGCCACAAGAGCACATGGCACATGGCTCTAAGCGCATCGCATAAAGGGTAACGGATAATGGACTTAAAATAAACAAAGCCAACGGCAAAGAAAAGCAGACGAACAAAACAAGGGAAAACAGAAAATGGCTAGAGAGGATGGAAAATCGGACAAGGGAAACTGTTTTGCTTTCAAGCCGATGTACCCAGTGATCGGGAAAATATGCAAGTGGATCCAATCTATTGGCTTATTTCGGGGTAACTAAACAATGATAAAAAATGAAATAGTAAAAACAAATATCTCACATTTGAATTTACAATTGTATATTAAAGCGTTACGATATTAATAAATCTTATAAAATATATATTAAAATAAAACATGAAATCATTATATGAAATATAATGTATATTAAATTACATGGTTTAATATAAAAATTTTAATTAATGTGGAAAATATAAGATTTTAAATACTTAAGTCAAATATTTGGACTTACTACTTTTTTTTAACAGCTTAACAATAAAATCACAAATACATGAGCAACTAAAGTTGATCAGAGTAAAGATAACTAAAAAGAATAAGACATTAGAAAATTTAGTTTTTGCTTATATTTGCTTATCATTTTCAAAACCAACTACTGAGTACCTACTTGTCGATCACTGCCTTTATGTATTGATGTTTCTCTTCACCGCTCAATGCACATCATCAACAATGAAGGACTAAAGCTATAAACTGAGAAAAAACGCTTGAGGAAGCGAGAGGGTCGATGTGGTAGGGAGATAGCATCTAGGTTCAGGTAGCACGTGGCATTCATGCGCTTGGTTTGGTTAACTTGGATCATGTCACAAATTAGTAAGTCATTTTGCCATCTTGTTTACCCATTTAGCTGCCTGAAAATTATTTTCCGCTTAGCCAACTGCTGCTGTTGGCACTGAACTTTCCCATTTCCCATTTCCCCTTTGTCACTTTTTTGCTGGACCTCGTCCAATGCCTTTTTGTTCGAGTTTTATTACGATGCTCTTGACCGGTTTTATTGCCTTCAATATTTCTTGCATATTTTGGCCACAACTCATTCAACATATATATGGGTTCTGTCTGGCATTTGGCTTTTGCCCCGTTTTCGGCTACGGCTTTTGGCTTGGGGTTTGTTTTAACAAATTTATAAGCTAAACAAATTTATGCTCGTTGCCTTGCGCTCCCCACTAGCTGTATTAATTATGAATGTTATTCTAGCCCATTCTATTTCAACCGCACATGTTCATGTTTTCTGGTTATGCGTAAAATTCCCTTTCCATAAAATAAATTCAGTTGCTATTGAGAGAATTTTTATTGATGAGTTGCTAGACCTTGAGTGGAATTTCGGGAAAGAAATCCAAATAAATGCCTGATTGAGTACTTTTTTAAAGCAAAAAAAAAAAAAAAAAAAAACAGAACCAAATGAGGAATTACCCATATATTTTTAGGATTTAGAATTGGAACTTTTCTTCAAAAAGTTATATAACAAGATTTTATGAAACCTTTTTTTAGCTGTTCTTCTTATCAATTATTTTGGGAAACTCCTAAACACAGTTTTCCTTTTAGGGGACATGTTAAATAACATTGTGAGTGTCTAACTGTGTTTACCCTTTGATTAGTCAAAAGCTTTCCTAGCTCACCTTGATTTATGTTCACTGCCAGGTCCAATTTTGGACTCGCACAAGCACTTCCACCTATTTTCTAACTTTTGGCCCGGCTAATAAATTCGTTTGGCAATGCAAATTTCCTACCGAACAACACCTAAATTCGTCAAATTAAATGCAAACATTATACAAAACGCCAAAAGATGACTATGCGTAAACAAAAAGGCAGCAAAGACCAAAAAATCAGGAACAACAACAAACTTCAGGCAGCACATGGCAGCATAAACATTTTGCGGTGTCTAAAAATAAATAATCTACACTGTGCAAAAAAAGGTTTCTAGAGTTGTGTGCACAGTTTTTAACTAAAAATTGTTGTTTTATAAGATAGTTGCACATAAAAATGATCTTGAAATTAATTTATGATTACTTATTCCTTAAATTAAACCCGTACTTGAATTAAAGCTGATTTTTTTCAGTACTTTTGTTGCGTGTATTTATGAGTGGGAAAGTGTTGGTCGCACGTGTGTTAGTGCGTGAATGCTGCCTTCACTTACTATATTTAGAGCGAACTTACCTAGAGGCTGAAACATTGGTGGTTAATTGGAGAATGGGTGGCGGAGGTGGTGTTATAGGGGGTGTGTGTGGGTGGGGGGAGGGACAGTGCGTATTGCCAAATGCCAGCAGCTGTTCTGTTGCCCGGTTAATGAATGAATATGCATGAGGAGGAGACGTGAAAGAGACAGCAGACAAAGCACTCAAACACATTCTTGCGGTAGCATAAAGGTGCTGTTTTTTATCCATTTTTTCATGCACAAATATTTCATATACGGAAACAAAAAATAAACTATCCTAATTAACTTATTTAAACACGAAAAAATTGACTTTATATGTTTTTAATATCAAATCAAATTTTAAAATTAAAAAATAAAATCGAAAAAAAAAATTTTTTTAAGTACCAGGTACTCCATAGTCTGGACAGTTCCTTTTCAATTGAGTACTCCTCCTTATTTTCCATTTACACATGTCGCGTTTTTGGCGAGGGTGTGGGCGAGAAAAAGTGCTGCCCTCATTAATTTGCCTCGCTTATCAAATTGGTTTTGTTTTTATTAATTTTTGTTTGCTCGAAGCTGGCAGAAAAGTTTATCCTGGTGTTGTTGCTCTGCTTTCTTGTTTTCCCTGCGATGGTGTTTTTTTTTTTTTTGCATGTACAATATTTGCCAGACCATTAGCGCCATTAACATAATGAATTGCCATTGGACTGCGGCATCGATAGAATCGAAACGGATCGAATCGAATATAACCGAGGCGATAAACCATTGTTTCCTGCATGCCGAAACTGTTTGTTCGCCATTTACCAGGTGAGGTGTGTAAATATACTGGGAGTGGGGACAGTGGAACGATGACATTGATTTAGTGGGAGTTTTCACAGCTCTTGTTGTATTAGAAATGCAAAGAAGGGATAAACGTATGAAGTTTATATGAATAAGAGTGTATTGGGGGTTGCTAAAGAAAAATGTAGATTAATTTCATATTTACTAAATACATATTTAGAATTAAGCTGTAATTATAGGTTTGCAGAAGACAATTTTATTATGACACCTCTATGAAATTGAGTAGTAATATAAGCAAGGATATTCCAATGCCACAATGATTGCTAATGATTGGCAAACTGTGCACAATGATAACCAATTTCTCTTCTTGGACTTCCTGTGATTAATCATATGATTTAGCATTCCAAAATTATAATTTGTGATTGATTACGTACTCAGCTGTTGCCTATTATCCTCAGAGGACCAAACAGTTCAAGCCAATTAAATCCGTTTGTATCCTGCTTTCTGTCAGCACGCTCTTCACCGTCGCCTTCGATTTGGAAAAGTCCATGAGGCAGGCGTAGGAAAATGCAAAATAGCTTAGACTTAAGCCACTGAGTGAATGATTCCTGACGGCAGCCATAAGTGTCCAATGACAGACGATGACGACATTTATGAGCTTTCGTTAAAGAGGCTTTTCAATTGCCAGGGCAACGACTCCAGGGAAATCCCATCTGCTTTTCTTCCCTTGAAATTGTGTTTTCATTTGTCGATTTTCTTTATAACCACGATATTGGGAAAACTTTGGCGACATTTAGTAGTATACATAAAGTTGTCTTTTTAGTTTAACAACTAAGAAAACTTTTCCTAATTGATGCCAGCTTACTAGACTTTTCTTTTAGCGAATTTCTACTTGAGAATCTAAAATAAGTATCAATTGATCACTCTATTTATTTTGTTGCTGCATAAAAACATTTCAAAAGCTCTACGTAAAGTTAGTTAGGTGTCAAATTGCACAAACTATGACCTTATTCTGTTAATACCGCTCGAAAAATGAAAATATGTATTATAATCAGAATTTAGAAATATTACATAGTTTATGTTATGAGATAGTTTATGTTATGAGCTTCAGGTTTTTCCGCTTTCTAATTCTTTCAGCTTGGCGGGTGGCAAAAATGTTTAACTTAATGAAAACAAAATACTCTGAATGCCAAAGTGCGCGAGTTGATTCAACAGAATTTCCAATGAATTTCTTGAGTGAATTTAAGCGAACTGTTTGTTTTGTTACTCGATAGGTTAATACTTCTGCGAGAACTATTTGCCATCTTATTTTTAATATTAATTTTTTCATTTAATTTTTCGATGAAATTTTCGTTGCTGAATTTTTTTATATTTTTTGGCAACAGCAAAACAATTTGTTTATAGCACGCGGAGCGTTGTGTTTTTGACATATTTATGCCGTTGGCCAGGCACTTGTGTTCGGTCTGCTTCCCAACCGCTCTGCCGCCCTTTTGCCGTCCGCCACGCCCCCTTTGCCCTGTTCGGGCAAAGTTGTTAACGCCGCCTCTGGCTAAAAACAAAAGCCGACAAAAGGCAAAAGACGGCGATGATGAAGACGAGACGATGAAGAGCCAAGAAGCCGGCGAACGACCTGTGCCTGAGCCCAACTTTAAGACTTTCCACAATGGAAGTTTTCCCTCAAACTGCTTACTTTCCTTTTATTTCCGATTTTCCCGCACCGTTTCTCACCCTGCTTTTGTTTTGCAGTTGTCTGTGGCACAGTTTTGTTTGGTATGCTAATGAAATCGGGCAGTTTGACTATAGTGGGACGGCAGGCCATGTTTTGGTAGCTAAAATTAAACAAATTTAGATAAATGGTTTGGAAAAGTATTTGTTTATATTTAGTCTGTTTTTACATTTCTTAAACTCCACTTACTAATTTATAATTAATAGTTATTGAATGAAGAATATTGAATACAAAATAATTTATTAAACTAAAGACGCTTCTACGTTATTATATTTTGTTTTTGATATTTGTTATGTTTCTTTTTTACGTTCAACAGCTTATACCTTAAGAAAGAACAGAACAAAAAATGAGTCAAGTGAAACGATGTTTTTTCTTTATTTCACATTGTCCTAGGACCTGTTCAAGTTAAGCTCCATTTGTTTGCATATTGGAAACAATGTTTGCAGCATGTCATAAATATAAGACTATCTCTGCTTTCAGTCTCCCAGCTCATCTGCAGTATTTCTAAGATAATCTCCTTCACTTTAAAAGGGTATTAAAACTTCGCTTGATCGCTGATAAATTTCTTAGCATTTTCTTCCTCCGACTTTTTGTTTCATTCGAAAATTTAACAAACAATCTGAAGTTGTACTCGTTCTGGCCCTGCCCATCTCTTTCTGTTTTGATCGGGCCTTGCGTGTCTGGCGAGCATTTCGTGAGACTTAAGTGGGCCGGCACCCAAAAACAAAAGACCAAAAAAAAAACGAAAAAACCTTAAAAACGCATATATGTATATATATATGTATGTATTTATGTATGTACATATAGAGAAGTGGGCGCTGGGGGAATCCGAAAAGTAGATACGATATATTTATTGGCGGCGTCAGTTTGCGATGCTTTTTTGCGGGGGCGGCAGTTTGCTGTTTGAGTTGCTTTGTTTAGGGGTTTCCTTCTTCTGCCTTTGCTTGTGCAAAATCGAATTTATTGTTTTAATGCCATTTTCTGTCGCTGTCGAGCGCAAAAATTGGCAATTTGTTTAGAAATTAGCGCACTGCCTCTCGTTCTTTGTGCCTCTTTTAGCATGTAAAATGAAAATCAATTTCTTTTCCCCATCTCCTCGTTTCAGATTCAGCGCTTGGGATTCAAGGAAGTCCAATGAGTGGTGTGGCAGGAACGGGAACAGGTGGCCCAGGTGGCCAGGGTGGAGTGGGCGGTGGTGCCACCCACATCTTTCGGTCGCTGTCATCGGAGAGCCAGAAGCGGGAGTGGTCCAAACGCCTCTCCCTCCGGGGAATGCGCCACGGAATGGGCGGCAGCGGAGGAGGAGCCGGAGGAGGTCCTGGCACTGGAACTTCTGGCCTTGCCAGCAGCAAGGAGGTGAGCTAATTGACCCCAACATCCATAAACACAAAATCATTGTGCAATAGCTAACTGGGGAAAAGGAAAGACTCTACTTTAAATAATGGATTTGAGTTTTTAACAATTTTAAAAAGGTAATTTCAGAAAACTTCCATTTTTTGTTAAAACCCGTAATAAAAAAGTATGTATTTGAATTAAAAATAAGCTTTTGATATATTTTAATATAAAGTAATTACAAAATAAAGCTTGCGCTGATGTGATTTAAAGTAGGGTTTTGAAATGGTGCGCTACCAATATGTTCTTCAGAATTATTGATAAACAGGGATATTCATAATTGGAGATGTTCTTTCCATTAGTGTACTTACACTTTCATCATTTAATTTTGCAGGAGAGCAAGCACAGAAAGTTCTTCAGCCGCTCGGCCTCCCTGCGACAGGCGGGAAGTGGGGGCAGCCAGCAGGCCTCCATGGAGCTGCATGTGCCCGGCCAGGACGGAAAGGGAGGAGGAGTCTCCTCGGGAGCGGGCTCACCGCAGACGCAGACCCAGCCGTCGACGCCCAAGAAGTCCAACTGGGAGGTGATCGAACATTTCAATACGAGTGCCAAGGGAGGCAAGGCCATGGTTAGCAGCAGCTTAATTGCGGTGAGTTCGAGGGGGCTCTGGCATCAATTAATTTGCCCGTCTAATGGACGGAACGTCGATGGCAGGCTGCCCATCCACATCTACATGTACCCATCTCAACTCCACCTGTTGTGGGACTTAAATATTTAATTCAATTGTGCCGCAAATAAGCCGGGCGGAGCTAAATTTAAATAAATTTCATTGATTACTGAAGTTGCTAATGGGAAATGGGGAAGGGACAACAAACATTTTACTTCGCCCTGGGAAATTTATTTAAAGTCAAACAATCTGGCACAATCAGCAAGCCGACAGCATGTCAGAATACTTTGCTTTAATTAAATTTATTGTTTTATCGAAATCGATGCCGAAATTGTGCTTGAGGGAAAAGTCCACCGGCAACATGAGAACTTTACAAATATGCTCAACATATTTGTGTTTTATTTAATATTTAATTACTGATAACAAACTAAAATATATTTTATTAACTTTTTAGTTACTTGTTTTTCCTTTTAAGTTATTGTATTTTTGCTATACCGTTATCCAGAAGAAGCTTAGTTGTAGAAAAATGTATAAAATAAAAGTGCAATTTAATTAGAATACGTTTTTATAGTGGTGAATAAACTAGTTGCAATGTGATGTTCGTTTTATATATGTACTTCCATGGAAACGTAATGAATGTAAGCTTTTACTATCAAACGAGTTTTTAAGTTTTATATATGTTTCCTCTCTATAGTTTTTATGAAACGTTACTCTATACAACCGTGTTTAATGCCAACTAACAAGTCATGTCCTGAAAAACGCATACACTCTCACACTCGCAGGCAAGCACCCACACATGCATGGCTAAGCTGACATGCACAGGGGGCCACTTAGTAACTGCACACGTGTGTGTGCGAGAGTATTTCTATTTGCGTTCGTTGTCAAGAGTCAATTGACAAAGTTTAGCAAATTGAAAAGGCAAAAAAAAGTGAGAGGAGCGAGGAAAAAAAAACATTTCTGGCATTCAAATGGGCGGCAATTTGGTTAAAAACGCCGCGGGGAACCAAACACACTTTCCCCTGTTTGTGTGTGTGTGTGTGACGATGTGATAGTGTGGGTGCGGGTGTGCATGAGTGGGTAAAACGTTTAGTTCAATTGTTTGCGGGCCACGCAAAAAATCATAGCATACTTACAAGAGCCATATGAATTTTTTATGTAAATACAGAAATGCAAACATATTAAATTTAAATTAGTCTTAAATTTAAAAAATTCAGTTGATCAGTTGAAAAGGGTAATAGGTAACTACCACAAAAAAGTTATATAAAAATCCCTTGTAACAAGATAGCTAGGCGAGAAATGTTTTTCGCAATCCTATAATTAAGTATTTGTAATAAGCATTTAATTGACATTTTCCTTTTTTTTTTTTTAATTTTAGTGCAATAATGCAGTTTTATTGGTTTAATTATACACATCACTAAAGTGTTTTAAACTTGTGCAATAAACACCAATTTAAAAGTTTATTTGTCTAGATACAAATAATAGAGTTGGCTTGTGGCTATCGCATAATTAAAATATGAAATGAATGAAATTTCATGCCTGGCAGCGCTAATAATTATATAATTTCGCTCATTTAACCCCATAAGGCTGGGATTACGCGCTGCAATATAGACGAATCCATGGACTCCACCAACTCCAGCTCCACCTGCCACAGTCCCATGATCTACCAACGTGACGAGACCCAGCTGTTGCAGCCAGGTAAGAAAAATTGAAAAATGTGGGAAAAATCTTGGGTAATAGGAAAGCGCTTACCGCTGCTAACGGGGCTACTGAGGGTCAATAAAAATGCCAACATGCTCACATGTCTTCCTTTGTGAGAGAAAGCCCCCACACTTTCCCCAACCACACCGCTCAAAATGTCACAAGTTGATTGTCATTGTCATATTGAATTTGACGAGGCTATTTCGCAGTCTCGTCTCCTTTTTCTCGTCTCACGTTTCCTCGTCATTGGCATTTCACTCACATATCGCCTTTTTCCCCCTTCAAGGTTGCCTTGGTCCCCACACCCACCCATTTCATCGCCCCAGCATCCATCAGACCACCACCCAGATTTATTTTAGTTTGTGTTTTCCGTGAAAGAGCCGAGCCAGACTTTGGTTTTCCTTGGCTTCGATAGACATCTGTATGGAGCAAGCTGCGTAGATTTCTGTGGAAATTTACATAATCACGTTTGGCATTTATTTATTGATGCATACAAAAACATACCCCGAGATCCATTCCATTCCATTCCTCCTCTCCGTGTTTTATGGTTGTTGTTTTTTTTTGCATTGTGGTCAGAGCGCGGGACAGTTGAATGATTTTAATATGCCGATTTGGCTGACGTTCTCCATTCTACAATAAAATATTTTATGGCTTTGTGTGCTGCATTTGAAATCAAGGTCTCCATTCACAGGGAGAAAAATGTCAGGAGCATTGACGATGATGTGCCACACACAATGGCTGGCAAATCGAAAATGTGTATAACACGTTAAGCGAATGAATTGTACTCGATGACACAATGGCTCAGGAAATATGTTTATGTGGGTGAAGAGGTGTCTTGACTTACTTCGTTACGTTTTGTCGCCCAAAAAAATACATATGATGTGTTCATCAAGTTAAAAAAAAACTTTAAATAGTTGACGGGTCATTAGATGAGAATGAACTGAATGTTAAGTTTATTAGAAACGTAAACATGTATATTATTCATTCATAATAAAAAATTAAAATAACACATCACAAATCACTGATTTGTATCCTTATTTAATGCTAATCGTTTTTAAGCCCAGGCTTTAAATATTCATCCCTTTAGTAAGGCATTTTACAAAAGTTTATGAATTAAACATGCTTATGTAGTTATTTACATCACAGATTACTCAGATGGCTATTTAATTGGACTGGCAAATTATATTTTAAACATGAATGAACAGCTATTAACTTAAAAGTCATATGTCAAAGATAATTTTTCTGCACAGAATTATTTCATTGAAGAATAAAATTGCATTTACCTGCTCATTCACACATGTCAATGTCGATTTACAATCAATGCCCTCCTGCGAATACCAAAACTTTCCAATTTCATGCTGTTTTGGATTTGTAACTACGATTTCCATAATTTTAATCTATTCCAAAGCGTTTCTCCATTTGTATGGTTGCTCAAACGTGAAACTGCAACAGCTGTAATTGAACTTACAAATTCTGTTTGCAATTCCCAATTGTTTTCAGGGCTAATTGCAGATGAATTTCAGTTACAGCTTAAGTTGGGATAAATTTCTGGCTGAGGTATTAATTAATTTGGCATTGTGTAGGGGCATATTCATGGGTCTGGGATGGAAAACTCTGCCGCAATTGAATGTATCTGCTTTCAGGGGATGCCGGCAATGTGGAGGCCAACAATCCGAGTCCGGGCGGCGGAGGATCCGGAGCTGGCAATGGCAATGTGAGCCCCAGCATTTCCTTCTGGTTCCGTTTGAACCGCATCATCCTGCGCCTCTGCTCCACGCACCAGTTCAAGAATCTCCAGGTAAGCTACTTACGTTGCAAGCTAAGCGTGAAATCCTTTGCCCAACAAGTTCCAATTCCTCCTTTGCCACCATCGTTCTTTGAAACTTTTTCTCCGGCTTTGCTGCTCGGTTTGCTCAACTTTTTTTCCAGCACTTGGCAAAACGATTTTTAAAAGTACTTATTACTGCACTTCAAAAATTATGGAACCCAAATGATGACTTAATTGAATAACTTAATTTTATTTATTTTTTTTTTTGGAATTTATTAAACCTTTTTAAAAAAAAATTAGTTTTTGATATTTTCTAAATGCGAATTAATTCCTTAAATTTAAAAAGGGTAATACTATTAGTGCTCTTCTTAGGACATAACCATCATTTATAAGTTATTTTAATTTGTTTATTTATTTATTTATTTAATAGCATATTTCTTAATTTGTACTCTTTAAAACGTTAAACTTTTTAAATATTAAATTGTTAAAAAAAAAATCGTCTGTATTTAGTTGAAAAATCTTGAAAAAAATCATTCTCTCAGTGTGCTCATTCCCCGTCTCCATTTTCAACCAGGTGGAAATGCTGTATCAGCGGTATTTTCTGCGTATGAACCAGAGCAATACGACGCACATTCTGGCGCTCCTGTTAGTCCTGATTCTGGCCCTGTCCTGCACGCATTTGGTCTTTACCACGCTGCAGCTGCAGCGCAGCACCTCCCTGCTGCTGGAAATCAGCGATATCGGACTGGAGGCAAATGCGACCGGTGGCAACTTGACGACCACCACAATGAAGCCACCGGCATCAGCGGGTCAAATTGCCCATGGGAGGAGCTTCATTCCGGCCATGGGCCTCGATTCAAATCCCAGTTGGGTGGCCAAAGGGGTGGGGGGCTCTGATTCGAAATCCGCCCCTAACCATGACCTCGCCGATTTTGAAGAGGGCGATAATGGGCAAACGGGGAGGCAATGGCGCCGGCAGAAGCGCAAACATTATCGACGGCTCCACAAGCACCGCTACAAGCACAAGTCACACCAACAACATCGCACCAGGTGAGCAGGGATGCCAACCATTGGTTCTAAAATGTAGCTAAATAAATATTTGTATCCCATGAACCTCTATCCCATATTCATGTCAATGGACATATCCCACAAAAAGAACAATATCATTTAATAAATTAAAATAAGTAAAGGCATGATTATAAGTAAAAAGGTAAAAGTATAATATTAAATTGTGGATAAACCTATTTTTAAATAAAAATATCAAGGGCGAAACAATTATGTATTTATATTTTATTTGTTTAATAAAAATTACTCAGGTGCTTAAAACGTAAAATATATCAGTATAAACTATTTTATTTTTGCACCAACCCTCTTAGAATTAATCTTTAAAAGTTTATTTCATTGTAATTTTTTAAACAGAGTTAAAAATTTCAATAAAATATCCTCGTTTGGCTATAAAACAGCAAACTTAAGGTCACTGTAGCTGAATGTGAAGGGGAGCTATATAGATGTGGAGGAAAGGGCCAGTTTTGACAGGTCACTCCCACCGACAATGTGTTTTTGCCGAAAGGCGATTCATATTTTGCACAGCTCGCATTTGAGGTTTTACTCTGAGCGCTCCCCTGAAATTCAATCAAACAACTTTAGGCTGCCCGAATAGAGCTGTGCCCATAAAAGTGTGTACAAAGTAGGCTCAAATTGAATTTAAAGCAGGCTGCAGGGGCTGGAACAAGTTAAGCCAAAGAAAAGTATTTTTAGCAAAAGCAAAGGCCACAATTGATCGAAAAGAATCCATGACAAGGCTTTAATCATGTACGAAATGGCGACTTAAATTTTACTTCAATTGTAATTTTAGGTAACTGGCATAAACCTTAAAACAAGTAATGTCCAACCTTTAATTCAATGGTAAAAAAATAATAGAAACGTATTTAAACTCAATCGAATTTTACTTTTAGATTTTAATGCAATTAAATTAATATACAAATCACAGATTGCTAGGAGACATATTTAAGTGAATTTCGGTGCCCAATAAGTTTTCAGAAAAATAACATAAATTGGCATTCTGTGCTTTGTTATTGTAATTAATTTTCAAAAAAAGGAAAATAATTAAGTTCAAACGAATTTAACTTAAGCTTTCTATTCGCTTTTCATAAAAAAATTAAAATGTGCATTTTAGCAAAAATTGCTGGAAGGAATATAGAAGTGAATTTCGGTGCTCAATAAGTTGTCCAAAAAATAAAAAAAATCGGCATTCTGTGTTTTGTTTATGCCATTTTAACTCAATTATATGTCAACAAATTGGAGAGCACAAAAAAAAAAAATGACTTAAACAACACAATAACCGATTGAAGAACATCTCTTCCAAAATCACCAAGACAATGCTTTAATCAATAGCTCGTACGAGTTATCAATAACTGACTCCTCGTATTCATTTCGCCTGCCATCTCCATTTGCATTTAGATTTATTTTGCCACAAATATTTATGCTGGCCATAAATACCGGCAAGACGGATAGTTGGGCAAACACAAAACAGACATTTTCATAAATTGAGATCCGAGTGAAATGATATTTCGGATATTATTGCAGATACAGGATACGGGAGAAGCGGAGTCTGCAGGATACGGAGTTGGTTAAGGGGGTAGGAACTCAGCTGATTGTTGACACGGCCCCCGATGATGTGTACACAGTTTCACGTGCCGATGACGCTAACGATGATGGTGATGATGAAGGGCGGAGCAAACGCATTACGTATACGCCGCCTGTCCGCGAAAACAATCAAATTTCACAGGCGGAACGTGATGAAGTGTTAAACACATCGTCAAGCGCAGGACCTGCCACCGATAATTTGGACACTCCTCTGGGCTATGGCCACCTGCTGACCCTGCTCCTGCTGCAGGTGGACGAGTCCGTGCTGGTCTTCCTCATTGTCATGCTAATCTGCGGGATTGTATACGCATGTGAGTTGCTCATAACCGGGTTTCGCCTGACTTCGGACCCTAATCTCTTTGTGTTTGCCTGCAGTCCTGCTGTGCATTCTCTCTAAGCCGGCCATGAACGAGATCTTCCTGGTCCTCGTGTCCTACGTTATTTTGGGCACCTTCCTGGCCATCGAAGTGGCCGTCAGCTATGCCATGCAGCCCAGGTTGGTTTACAAGTTACCCTGATTTCGACGCCACAAAAAGCAAAGTAAAAATCAAAGCTGGTAATCTATTCAACCACGAATCGATTATCAATTTTAAATCAAACCTTAAATAGTCTTAAAGATAACTTAGTTAAAGGAAACATAAAAAATCACTTTAATTTTGGTGTACCCAAGTTTTTTCCAGTGCACGGCAGCTGTTGCTTGGACTCCCGGCATAATTAATCTTTCACGACTCGCTAATTGCGAGAACTTGGAGTCATGCTAAGCAAACAGCCGCATCTGCGCGCCACTGTACTAATCGCTCTTCTCGTGTCCGATTTCCTCCGGCAGCAAGTCCTTCAACGGCAGTGCCTGCTGCATCGTTCTCATCTACATGACCTACACGATGCTGCCCCTCCGCCTCAGGGAGGCCCTGATCGGAGGCATCCTCCTGAGCGTCGTCCATCTGTACACCTGCCTGAGGTTCGCCGCCAGACAGCAAAATGATGTGGCCGAGGTGCTCCAGTGGGACGAGGTGAGTGGTACACACGATACACGTGTGGACTTCGATTTTGGTTAATTACTGTGGTTTGTATGAGCTTGTACCTGATTGATATCCAATTCAATTGCTTGCCTCAATGTTATTGAGCGTTTCCTTTATTTGAATTACACAAAAATCTTTCATAAATTGATTAGACAGGCGAAAACTATCCAGACTCAGGGCGTTAAAAATAACAAACTTGAGTTACATTTCTATATTACGTTATGCCGGTTTTTAAATCTTTTAAAATCTTCTAAGCTGGGAAATTGTAATAAAATCTGAAAGCTGATCTAAGAATAAATGATATATTATTAAAACCTGTTAACCAATGTACATAATTTATTTATATATTTTAATATTCTTAAATTAAAAGAACATATTTGAAAGCATACTTTGTTCAACTTTAATTCGGATTGAAAAAAAAGCTGTTATTGTTTACATTGCAAATGAAGCATAAACAATCTATCAACAGGTTTGGCACTTTTACTGAGCCACAAATGCAAATTGATTAAGCGAATAATAAAATTGAAATACTGTATAACAAAGGAGCGGAGTGGGCGGCCATCTAGCTTTAATTGCCTCCTTGGCATGAAAGGAAAATGGGGAAATCAGGGAGAAAAACAGCAGCTAAGAGTGGCACGTGTCCAAGGGTCTGGGAGAAGACATAAATGAAATGAAATTATATTGCCGCCAAATTGAATGAAATTGAGAATGTGGAGGGTGCTACTGCTCTTGCTACTGCTCCTCTTCCACCCAACTTCCCAAGTGTTGTTTTCCCCGTATTTATGGCTGGTAATATCATTAATGCCTCAATCTCCATTTCCATATCCGTCCGCAGCTGCTCTGCACTTTGGTGGCCCTGCTCCTGGCCAACCTAACCGGCGTCTACACCCACTGGCCCAAGGAAAAGGCGCAGAGGAAGGCGTTCATCGAGACGCGACAGTGCATCGAGGCCAGGCTGAGGACACAGCGGGAGAACCAACAACAGGTGAGTGGAAAAGGTTGCGCTTTTTAGAAAAAAAAAAGGTTATTACATTTTTGTGGAAACAATAAAAAAAAACCAGGACTAAAAGCTAATGATGAAGAGATTTAATCTGCAGTTTACTAACCTTAAATTTTTTATCACATCCCAGTTTTTAGAAAATCTTGGTCAAAGTTTAAATATTTTGATTTCTACTTAAGTAAGGCCTTTGGATTGCATTTTGCAACCAAACCACTTTTTTCCAATTTAAGTGGTTCCTATAATGTATAAACAAAGATCATATATTTTGTTGAAAATTTCACAAGTTCGGAGAGCTAATAAAACTGTATTGTTCTTAAAATAAATACCTAGAAATTAAGCTAACTTGGTAGATTCAACTGATGGCAATGGTCCTAACTGGAGAAACTCCTTCATAGTTGTAGACAATGAAAAATCAGCAGGTGTCTTATTGGTATGTGGGAGTACAACATGAAAAGGCCATCGAGAAAAGCGGCAAATGGCAAACAAATGAAAAGCGAGTGATTTTGTCTGAAATTGTTTGCATCAAACGGAATGTGAATGCGTAGCAGCGGGGTACTGATTCACTTCTTTGAATTTGGGTGCCTTTTATCTTGAATTCAACAAGCAAATATAGTAGAGAGCTAAATGTAGAGAGATATAGAAGCACAACTGCAGGGAACTTTAAGCGCTCTTATTACAACTTGCGGTATTTGAGAAATTTCCTTTCAAATATATATTATGAAATCTGAAATCATCAAAATCCATTATCAAGCATGGGAAAGTCAAAAACTGAAATACCATAAATGTAAAAGCGATTTTGCAGGACCTATTTATAGAGTAAGCAATCGTTAAGTTAATTAATGCAGGCTGATCCCAATACAGATTTAACTGCGAATCGTATATCGGGTTACTGTACTGGATGTGGGTATTAAAGCAGATCCATTTGTTGCAGGAACGCTTGTTGCTGTCGGTGCTGCCGCGTCATGTGGCCATGGAGATGAAGGACGACATTGCGGGCCAGCCACGTGACACACAGTTCCATAAGATATACATCCAGCGGCACGAGAACGTCAGGTGAGTTGCGGTGGGTGGGGAATTTATTTGCATGCAAAGTCAATAAATTGCTCGCCTGAGAGTCTCTGAATGACTGAGCGTGTAACGCGAGCAATGAATTTGTATGCAAAGCCAAAAAGGAGCTTAACCAAATGCACAACGCCACGTACACAGATACAAAATCACACACACACACACACGGAAGACAAACGACACACGCACACACACGGCAGGCAACCAAGCATAATAAAGCATACTTTGAGGCGCACCTGTTTGAGCCAAAAATGTCCTCTGTTTGTCGCATTTTGTTCGCTTCCTCTTAAAAGTTGCTGGGATTTCTGTTCAAAGTTGTCAAGGGGGAAAAATGAAATACAGTTGGGGAGATAAAGATAAAGATACCTTAGACGTGTCAGTCCTTAAAAATTCCAAGTAGAAATTTAAATATAATTCTTTGCGACAGCTTCGTCTTCTCCCAAAAATATTACGACAAATTCGAAAAGACTTTTTAAATACAGTATTGTCTATAACTTAAACAGCCGAATCTTAAAGATAGTTTATTTAAGGGACCATAATGTCCCTTTATGTTTTTAAGTGGATCGTGGTTTAAAAATTATTGAATGCGAATTCTAAGAATATATGTCAACATCGAATAAATATTGTAAAAGGGTATTTCCCTTTTCAACTTTCGTAACCAGCTTCCATTGTTACTTTGCTTTATGTTTACCATTCCAAACTTTTCCTCGTCCATTTTGTATTAAATTACGCGCTGAGCCGCCTAAGCCCTTCTCAGTTACGAGTCGTAAAATCAGCCAAAAAGAAGCAGTTAATGTGGCTCTGTCAACACATGACCGTGTTGTATAGGCTAAGCGCCACGAAAAAAGGATTTAACATCGTTAGATTTACGAGAATAAATAACCGACACATAATTCAGCTTAAAGGGGAAATAATATTTCAGAAGCCGCAAGTCAACCGAGTTTTGAAGTAATAAGGAAGATAACAATGAATATATTAAAAATTCCTGTGGGGGCAGCTGCTTCAATAAAAAGGGGGCGTTCTTCATGTACTATTTCTGTGAGAAAATAACTCATAACATAAATGATAGTACACAACTTTGTTCTTGTTTGCTGAACAAAGTTTAAGGAAATTTAAACCTCAAAAATTTAACGTTTCAGCAAAAGCCAACCGCATTGATGAAATGCATCTTTGCTGCTGCACTGAAAGAAATATCATACATCGGAGATATGTTAGAAGACATGGGCTTATCGGTCTAAGTCTTGTCCCTGGAAAACGGTCTTATGTTCATTTTTTTCACTGTGTATGGCTTTTCCTACACCTCAAGCCCTCGACTCACATTTCCCTTTCCCCATTTTCCAGCATCCTTTTTGCAGACATCTGTGGTTTCACCAGCCTCTCGGATCAGTGCACCGCCGAGGAATTGGTACGCCTGCTGAACGAGCTTTTTGCCCGGTGAGTATTCGGATGGGTATTGGTAGTGCCCCCTGAATGGGACAGAAGTTGTGGCCATAATTAATGGCAAACAATTCATGCACTCTGAAAAAAGCGGAACCACTACTTATTTTTCATTTATAGTCGTAATAGGCCTTTAACAGTTTTGGCAAGGTTCAATTGCGTAACTTAGTAATTTTTACAATAGTATTTGTTATTAAAATCACAAAGCTTTACAAGTACTGATAAAGCGAGAAAGAAACATAACTGAGTAATTACTCAATTAAATTACTGTATCTTTACTTTAACTTAACTTTCCGTAAATGATTTTCTGATTATGCAATTTTTCCCAGTGCACGTCCATCTGTCTGGGTCCATGTCTTATTCATGAAACTGAAACCCAGACAGAGCCTGTGGCTGTATTAATTGCTACAACTGAACGAGGGGAAACTGACCTCGGGGCAAACAAATAAAGCTGCTGACCTTTTCGTAAACGAGCTTAGGCTCCAGTAACAAGTTCCTTTTATCGATGAAGATAGAATGAAATGTAAGAATTTGTATAGAAAAATGCCTTTTATTTTACCCGCTTGAAAATATTAACTTACAGGAATACTTTTAATTGGTTCTGCTGGTATAAGAAAAATTAACAACTTAATTGTGTAACCTTTTAAAGGAAATGTAATTTAATAAAACAAATATTAATTAATTGAAGACTGTTGTCTTGCCCAAATTTGGTAAATTTTAATTGGGTCACTCGTTATTAGAAAAGGTAACCCTTTGAAATCCATACTTTCTTTTGTGTAAAGCTTTATTTCCTTAAAATGAACCCAGTTGAGAGATGATGGCTTTCTCCTTCTGAATTTCATACTTAAGCCTTTTGTGGCGATTTTTCTGTCCATTTTTCAATCTCTTCGTTTCCACTTTTCCGCTTTTTCACTTCTCCATTTCCATTGCAGCTTTGATCGATTGGCTGCGGAGCATCATTGTCTACGCATTAAGCTGCTGGGCGATTGTTACTACTGCGTCTCCGGGCTGCCAGAACCCCGTCCGGATCACGCCCATTGTGCCGTCGAAATGGGACTCGATATGATTGACGCCATAGCGTGAGTATCCGTATCTGCAAACAGAAACACAAAGGGAAACTGCTGTTTTGTGGCTTTGTTGTGGCTGCACAGCGAAAAAAACGAGATGGGATACGATATTACATTGTCCTTGTATTCCAATATCCCAGTTGTATAATATTTAATAAATAGTAACAGTAGCTGTGGTATATTTGCATAAATAGCACTATATATACTGAAATATTGGCAATCATATTTAAGTGTTTATTTAATAGTAAAGTAGGCTTCCAGTATTTATTTTTTATAATTCGCAATTAGTGCAGAATCTAAGTCATTTAATTTCATTTTGTCTTTGAGACAATATTGACATGTGAAATAAGAGTACAATTTAATAAAGACGTTAAGTGTACACTACTGCAGTGCCTCTTTGTTACCCGCTTCCTTCCCATTTTGCAGGCTGGTCCGCGAGGTTATGGCCGTGAATGTGAATATGCGAGTGGGCATCCACACAGGTCGGGTGCACTGCGGCGTTTTGGGCCTGGTCAAGTGGCAGTTTGACGTTTGGTCCAACGACGTGACGCTGGCTAACCACATGGAGAGCGGCGGGATACCCGGGTGAGTGTGCTTTCTGTGGTTAATCTCTAATTTTCCAGCTGAAATTAATTGATCTGCCGTCTGTGGCTGTCGTCGGTTGACACTTCAAAAGTATCCATTGTTTTGGGCATTTTGTGGGTTGGACTGGTTGGGGAAATCCAATTCAATTTGCTGCCATTCCCTGGCCAAATTCTATTTCATTTTGCCGGCAAATCCAATTCAATCCATTGAAAATCCCGTTTCGGTCAGTTTGAGCCACTTCTGGCGACAGCTGTGAATAATGGCAGTGAAAGAGGGAATGTTTCTCGTAATATCCTCGACCATCGAAATTCTGGCCAATAAAAGCAGTGGCGACAATTAAAGCCAACTTGTTGTGTTGGGCCGGAAGTTGTATTGTGCGAAGCACCACCCATAACGGCACTTGAAAGTCCAAAAGTGTCGCCGCTCTGCGGATGTCCTTCGTCCTTCGGCCTGTGTCCTTCGACACGAGGGTGTGCCTTCGCCAATTGTTGGCTTAATCGTTGTAATTGCCATGCACACACAGCATTTTGCATGCGTCTTGTGGCCTTTGGCTTGCTGAAGGCGTCAAGTTATTGGTAACTTACGAGTCCTTGCCTTTCTCCCCTTTAATACCCCTTAAGCAGCCTGCCCAATCGATTATGGCCCACAACTTGCACCACGCCCACGCCCACGACACTCTGTTTGGCCCTCCACTGATAAGAGCCCCCTCAACAATATTTTGTTGCTGTTGATTCAGCTGCACTTACTTCAACACTTCAGCAATTTGTTTCTGCCCGCATACCCTGGCTTCAAAGAATCAGGTTGGCAACGGTGTATCAGGCTAAAAGAAAATAAAAAGGAGATAGTTTTATATAAATTATAATCTATTTAGTAGGTTAAAAACAGTAAGAGATATTAGAGGAAGTTTTTATTATTTTTCCGGACTTTTAGAGACGTGCTAAATTCATGTATCATATAATTGTTTTCGGAATTTTATTGAGATCAAAGATGTTTAAAAAGAATTTAATTGATTAAAAAGAAATACTGTATGTTTCTATGTTTTGTTTTATTTATAAGGACTAAAACAAAATTAATTAATTGTTAAAAAAATGTTCATCATCAGTGATCAGCAGCATTTTAAAATGTATCGGTATGCTGTTAACCGCATCAAATACCCGAGCTACCAAATTTGCAGGTTTCGGTTTCTAAGAATGTTTTATGGCCCGTTTGAGAGTACACTTTTACCCACTTACCAACTTGTAGACGAAGCCGTTAAAGTGTCCCAAAATAATAGATAACAAAGGGTCGAAGTACTCGCAACGAGCCCTTTCCTTCTGTGTTAGTTTTTTGTGAATATTCACGCTGCGACTTCGGGTGGAAGTTTAAGTAACTGTTGAGTTTATTTGGGTCAGTTGGGCGACGGCAGCTCGTTTGTTAGCCGTGTCCCGGGTGAAATTAAAAGCAAATAGCTGCAGTGGGTGGCTGCATTGGGTTGGCCATAGCCATAGCCATAGCCATAGCCATTGCCTTACCTGGATGCCTGATAAGCTGCAATTTCTGCCGAGAGTTGGGCCAGTGTGGCATGTAAAAAGTTCGTTAGCAGCAGAAGGAAGTGGCTTTGGGGAATTTGGACTGCAGCAATCCATAACAAAGCGTCGTGTAATTATCAATAGAATCAACAGCAGGCAGTTACTTGGCAGCCAAAGGACCCAGGAGCATCTGTTGCGGATTTTTCCGCTTCTGCAGCCAAGAACAGCATTAAAAACTATTTAGCAAGGCAGGAAAATCCAGGCGGATGGGTAAAGGGCGGACGCTTTAAATGTGGGCGTGGAAAATGGGTTTGCAGCTTGTGTGTGGCATGTAATGTGAGTGTTTCCTGTGGCTAACTGCATTTTCCGTCCAACCACACGAGAAAAAACCACTTAGCTGATAAAGATAATCATTAGGATGTGTCCTTTATACATTTTTTTTTTTATGACATTCCCAGACGCGTTCACATAACCAAGGAGACTCTAAAGTGTCTGGATGGCGATTACGAAGTGGAGGTCGGCAAGGGAAACGAACGCAATTCGTATCTCAAGGATCATCAGATTGAAACGTATCTAATAGTGCCGGGTGATATTTACAGGCCTGTGAGTTTGCTTTTATATATTTTAATTTATATTATGTTCGAATCGTGGAATGCATTCTTATTTTTAGCATAAAAAGTCACGGAATCGACTGCAGGTTAATGGCAATATATCCAAGGAGCTACGCATGATGGGCCATGGAACTGCCCAGAAGCACACTTCCAAGTATGTTTTTAATGCTTAATTTACATTGTTGCTTAGCTAATTTTATTAACATTGTTTACATTTTATTTAACTGCAGATTTGGCTTTGGCGACAGTTCGGAGAGTGCCAAGGATCCTGAGGACGAGGTGAACGAGTATCTAATGCGCGCCATCGATGCCCGCAGCATTGATCATTTGAGGGCCGAACACTGTCAGTCCCTGCTACTCTGCTTCAAGGACAATGTGCTGGAGAGAAAGGTAAAACATTACTTAATACACAATAAGGCGGTTCATAATTTTAAAAAAACTATACCTTTTGAACTAGGCTTTTGATAAAAGATTTTTCTCTTTTATGGTTCCTACCAAAGTTTTCAATCATACATTTTTAGATTGCTTAGTAAACAAATACATTGATTTAGGTACACTAAAAAAACTATATACGAAATATAATATAGTATTAATTATTGCAATTTTGATTATAAGTAAGCATTTTTAGAATCAACATATTAAAATCGTTATCGATAAAGTTATGATAGGCTTAAAACCTAACTATAAAATGCCTTTATACACGCTAACTCTAAATTAGCTTATACTTTTTCCTAACCTTACCCATTAGAGCTTTAAAATTTACTATTGTGCAAACATTAAAAGTTATTTACATTTCTTGGCTTATATTCCACAATGGTTAAAGTAAAAACAAGGACCGAATATTTGTTTCCGGGGCTATTGTTACCGTCGCCCAGCGAACAAATATACATAATGTATATCTAAGCCGTGCTTTTACCACTCTGTTTTGCAGTACGCCAGCGAACCGGATCGCATGTTATGTGTTTACTTCTACTGCAGTCTGTTGGTTTTGCTCGGCACCAGCATAATGCGGCTGGTGGTGTTCCGGAGGTGAGTTTGGTGGGGATTGGCAATGGGAATGGGAATGGGAACGGGAATGGGAACCTGAATGGATGAGCTGGAAACCACCATTCCTGCTGGTGTTTTTGGGGCGTCCAAGCGAGGCGCTGATATGCCCGCTGGCTCCTGAACTCTTTTGCATCCACCACTGCGTATACGTGTTGTGCCGAAAAAGTTGCCACCCATTTAAATTGGCAGCCCGCTCTTCCATTGCAGCTCCCTGCTGACTTTGGCCTTGTCCACGGGCGCTCTGCTTCTGCTCGGGTTCCTGGTATTTCTGGTGGCATGTCACAAAATCAACTTTCAGGTGAGCACACAAAGAGTTCTGGGGGAGGAGGTGGGTTGACAATCTGCATTTTTCATCCCGTGGAATGCCAAACTTTTTAGCTGCCGTCGGACATCAAACGCTTCTCATTGCGCATTCATAGCAATCGCAGGATATCGCAATTTTTCGCCTTCGCCAGCGTCGCCCTGATTGTCCTCACCACCCTGCTGGCCATGGTGAGTATATATAAAATATATACTTTAATAGGCGGGGTAATCGCTGTCTGTGTTAATTGGCCGGCCCTTAAATATGCTATAAATATTTGAGTGAAGTTCAAAAAGGGCAAGCAAATGCTTGAACGTGGCACATTTAATATAATTGCGATTCACTTTTTGTGCGGCAATTAATTGATATAATTTCTTTAAATATTTAAACTGTGTTGGTATTGCTTTAAACATTTTTTGCTGGGTTAAATTTGTTGTACTACATAATACAAGGCGTCATGCAAATGAAACAATAACAATATTTTGTAACCTTTTTATTGCTGGATCACAATTTTGCGGTCAAATACGAGCAATTGGCGTCAAAAATGCTTAATAACAACATGATAAATTCAAGATTAAATCGCCATTTGGTTTTCTTTTCCCCTAGATTGTATCAAATACTCAAATATTTGTCAAATAATTTTTTGCTTTCAATTTATGTCAAAAAAGTTGTTTCCGCTTTCACACACACGATATTTCGTTGACTTTAATGCGACATACGCTGCGTATGCGCAACAAATGCTCAAACAGAATGGTCTATCATTACGCTTCCATAGACAAGAGTTCTCGGATTATTTCCATCTCTAGTGTTCTTATGCCGAAATATAAAATGAATCTAAACTGCCTTGGGGCCACTTTCGCCCCGTTCTTTTGTGGGGCATCCCAACCATCTCGACTAAGTCAAGTTTTTCCGACTTGTGTTTTAACCTTCTTTTGCTGTGCATTTGTGTGAGTTCGGGAAAAAAGTTTGCGACTAGAGGCAGGCAACCTCTTAAAAGGAATAAAAATAAAATTTACGTTTTGTAGTCCAAACAAAATCGGGGGCGCGCTTGTTGCGTTCTCCGATGTTGTTTCGTTTGGGGCGCCTCAAAACAAAAGTTTTTCCATTAAAGTTCGGCATTGGCCAAGACCAACGAGTAGCGACCCCAGATCCCGGCTCACATGATGAAGTGGGAGGTGGCTTTATGGGCAACTTGTTACCTGCCCCAAGGCCCGTGGCTTTTGTCTGCAGCAAGTCTCGGGCTAAGAGTTCTTTGACATTTCACTGACACTTTTGTGTTTGTTTCGGGCCGCGTTTAATGGCACTTTAAGAGTCATTCGTATTCATTTTGGGCCACGCTTAATGCCCAACTCTCGCAGGGGCCAGGACCTGTTGGAGGCTCGTTAAAATCTGCCGCAGATCGTTAAACTTGTCTAATGCGAATTTCATGGCCGGCCAGCTAATTAGCCATTCTCGCCATAGTTCCAGGAATCGGCCCGTCAGCTGGAGTTGCTCCAGAGGAAGCGCTTCTGGCTGGATGTAAGCGCGAACGTGAGTCTGAATGCCACCGAGTTCGGCGCGGAGATGTATGCCCCCGAGGACCCCGATTGTGACTTCTATCTGGCCTACAATGTGAGTGAGTGCACTGAGAAAAAACACGCGAATGAACGAATGAAGTAATTCGTTTAAATTTGGGTGTTCCGTGGACCAGATTAAAATATATAAAAAAACATTTGTTATATTATTTTTCCCATTTCAATCTATAAAAGTACTAAATTTTCTTTGCCATTTAAAAAATGGTATTGGCTTGTAGGTTTATAATATATATATATTATATTTATTTATAGAAAAAATTATTATTTCAACTCTATTATTTTAAGTATCAAAGTAACATTTTAAAATCAATCTTATATTTCTTAATATAAAAATAAACTTTTAAAACCACTTTTAAAAGAAAATGTAACGTTAAGTCTTTATTAAAATAGCTAAATATTTAAGCTTCTTACGTCTGGCAAAAGCTTTAATATTTTGAATAGGATAAACTTTAGATGTCAGCATTTTTAGCAAATATTGGCCCCTTGGCAAAAGAGAACATCAATTGTTCTGCATTTTGTTGCTATGTGGGCGGGTTTTGAATATATAATTCCTTGATTCGTTTCCCCGCCGCCTCCCTTTCCACAGACCTTTCTGCTGCTCACTCTTCTCTCGATGATGAGCTGTGCCACCTACCAAGTGCTGCGCATCCTGCTGAAGCTCCTGCTGCTCCTGCTGGCCTCCGGCAGCTACATGGCCTGCTCCTCCTACTTGTACTCGCGCAGCAGGGAAATAAGCCAGGAACTGGCGTAAGTATAGCATCCAACAGCCAACTGACAACATCCCGCATTTCGCATTCAGCGAGGCAGCTGCGCTATCTCTGAATGAAAACGAATTATGGCGTAATGCAATTTCAGTTTGGTTCAGAGGGTCGGGACCAGCTGAATTGCATTTACGGCAGCCGCAAACTGCATTAAAATTGTATTTAGCACCAACTCGGAATCCAGCCGGATTCATGGATTCATTTATCAGCCGCTGCAGTAACTTCTCTTGTTCGTTTTCTCCTCTTGTTGCCGCCGTATTACACTTTAATGGACCGGAATAACTTCGTCATTGTCGCCATTTCGGAACGATTGCACCTTTTTGTCACCGTCCGGCCATTGGAATAGGAACGAGGAAGCCCTGCTGCGCTACATAATTGATTCCATCTTCCTTTTTGCATTCATGCTGGCGCTGATTTTCCACAGCCACCAGACGGAGGCCACTTACCGCCTGGACTTTATTTGGAAGCTACAGGCCACGGGTGAGACAAGTTTAATTATGGTTGGCGTGGAACGTGAGCACAGGAAATTAAGTAGACAAAGGGCTTCAGTGCCGACAAGCCAAAGTTTTGAACTTTTAACGGGCAAAGAGAATATCGAGAATAGTTTTTAGCTAGGTTAGGCTTCTTTTTTATTGGTTCTGCTCTAATATTAATTAACATCAGTACAAACTTTGATTTTTAAGAGCTTTTTATTCAATTAAATCTTCCAATAAAACCATTTTATGCATTATAAGGGTCTTAGTGCCAAGCAGGCTGTTCTTATGTAGTTATTTGTCATCCAAAAAAGGATTAAAGCTTTACATTTAAAATCATTTTTAGAGCTTTATTACCTCATCAACATTTATTTTATGTATAATATTTTTAACGTCCTGTTTTTGCAACAAAACTTTAAAAAGTTGCTATACATAGATATGAGCATAATACCTATTTCCAACAACTTTGTTAAATAACTTCAAGCGTGTTTAGAAAATTTCCCATACAGCCAACAGCAGCCCCTCAAAATTATTCTGATTAAAATTCGAGAGTTGCAAAGCTGTGGCCCATTCCCTTCATGATGTCTCTTTTTCCGTTTGACACACTGTCAGTGATTTGAAATGATACCCTCTGGGGCAGAGCGACAGAGGGATTGGGAAAACTTTCGGCACATAAGCCACTTCATTAGTATTAGTGCACAATTGCACTTCCACTCACTCACACCGACGCACTGCCAGCATTTTCACAGCATTTGCCCAGCTTTTCCATTTCGGGAAAATGGCAATGTGTTTTGAGTTTTGTGCTTTCTGTTTTTGCGCTTTTACTTTCCGCTCCGGTAAACTGATAAACTGATATTTCAATTTCACGCTTATTTTTTTGCCCTCTTTCTGGGTTTCCGCCGCTGTTATTTTTTCGTTTTCGTTTATTTCGCAGAGGAAAAGGAGGATATGGAGCACCTGCAGGCTTATAACCGTAAACTGCTCGAAAACATTCTGCCCGTTCACGTAGCCGAGCATTTTCTGAGCCGCGAAAAGCACCTTGACGTGAGTATACAAATACACCAGCAAATACTACTAAATACACCCCTGCTCAACATGATGGCACTAAATGTAGAAAATCATCACACCACTTTATATCAACAAAATGGCGTTTTAACAGATTCAAAAACAATTGTCATAGTAGCAAGAAATTTTCAAAAACAGGTACAAACAGGATGGAATGCCAAATTTGTAGTCGATTGGCATTTGAAGCAAAATATTTGTACCATTTCGGTAAATAATGTTACCCCAAAAAAAAAATATTAAATTTTGCCAAGAAAGACAGTAGTTAGCCCAGCTTAGCTCTCAAAAAAGATATTATTTTTGCCAAATTCCTAAAAACGGAAATACCTTAATAAGTTTATTTTATCGAGTTGTGAGAAAAATGTTTAATTAGGAATACCATTAAAAATTAGATTTAGTAACTTAAATTTAACTTATTATAATTGTTTAGCAAAATTTGTAAATAACAACAAGCTAATAAAGCTATTATGCTGAGCGCAACTATATTTGCGGAACTCGGCATCTAGTGACCATATATTCATGAGGCATGCAGGCAAACTGTTCAACATATTAAAAAACTTTGAGGCTGTGAAATCTGCGCCAAATGTTGGGGAGTCGAAGAGGAAGAAACGGAGGCAAAGTGGCGGCGAAGGATTCAGATTGGTCAAAGGACGTCGGTGCAGGGAAGAGGGGCTGGCGGTTGGAAAACTGTGATGTGACCACGTGTATGCGGCCTGAAACCATTTCACTGCACTTGCCGCAAGGTGGAAAATCAGAGCGGTTTATATATGTAGTTTCGGGAACCAGTCAGCGTGGCAGCCTTCCGCACTAAATGCAAATTCAACAAGCTTAGTAGCCGCATTTGATGGCCAACGAGGACCCACTCTGGCAGCAGGACAAAAGCCAATGAGCTCAACTTGAGCCTGGCAAACAGTACCACACTGAGCAAATGCTTAAAGCCTATTTTTAGGAAATTATGAAAGGGGTAACATCATCAAAATTACAAAAAATCGACCTGATATTAAAAACTAAGATTTAAATGCAGATTTTTAGAGACTTAAGCCACAAGTCTTTAAAGATATACCACTTTAGAATCGGATGTCTGTAAGAAAAGTTATGAACTCAAAACTGCAGGCTTTTGTCACTTTTTGCCAAAGCCCATTTTTAGGAAATTAAGAAAGGGGTAACATCATAAAAATTAGAAAAAAATCGACCTGAAATTACAAACTAAGATTTAAACGCAGATTTTTAGAGACATAAGCTACAAGCCACATTGAATTTTCCGTTAATTTTTGGACAAACTTAAATTTGTAACAAAACTTGCACTTCAGTGCACAGCCATAATCTAATTGAATTTTCGATTGGCTTTATTGCAGGACCTGTACCACGAGCAATGCGACTCGGTGTGCATTTTGTTTGCCAGCATTCCCAACTTCTCCGAGTTCTACGTGGAACTGGAGGGTAACAACGAGGGCGTGGAGTGCCTGCGACTGCTCAACGAGATTATCGCCGACTTCGACGAGCTGCTCAGCGAGGAGCGCTTCCGGTGAGTTCCGTGGCGCTTCACCATCCTGGCCTAAACGTTTCTAACCACTTTTGCGGGCTGGTCCACATCCGGCCACCCTCTTATATCCTCCGGCAGCTGCATCGAGAAAATCAAGAGCACGGGCGCCACTTACATGGCGGCATCCGGACTTACGGCGAGCACCTGCGACCGGGTCAACTTTAGCCACGTGACCGCCATGGCCGACTACGCCCTTCAGCTGTTTGACAAGATCGAGGAGGTCAACATGCACTCCTTCAACAACTTTCGGATGCGAATAGGTGAGAAACTTAAACTTCGACTTCCTTCCAGCTACAGCTACAGAGGACAAATTATCAGACAACCATGGTCTTCATAGGGAACTATTTTGATTACAAACTATTCTGAATCAAATTTTCAGGATTTATCAGTAACTTAATGATTTTACTTTATTATCTAAAAACTAGTAATACAACCTTTTTTTCCATTTATGTTAATATTGTAACCTCTTACGAATATTTATGTATAACAATTTGTAAGTTGCAAGGCTTCAACATATTTGTAGTGAAATCAGTTATTATGCTGACGGTTGATGTCAGGATTTGCCTTACAAAGTTTTCCGTGTCTTACTTATTTATTTATACGAAACGCGTCGAAAGTCACGTTTATATTTAATGCAAGTGCTTAGCCTGTTTTCCTAGTTTTACTATATTTATTTACTGTTTCCGCATTTGTAGGTATTAATATTGGTCCTGTGGTGGCTGGCGTTATTGGGGCCTGCAAGCCTCAATACGACATCTGGGGCAATGCCGTCAACGTGGCTTCGCGAATGGACTCCACAGGTCTGGTCGATCACATCCAGGTGAGTCTTGATTAAATCATCGCCTAATCGCGGGCGTTCAGGTGGTTTTTATACTGTCCCACTTTTACCATCTTATGTTTTGCACTTTTTGCGAAAGCTGAGAAATTCCTGTTGCAAAAGTTTTTGGGAAGGGCTGAGCGGTTGCGGGGGCACAGCCACGCCCACCTAATCAATGGCTACCTGGGCTGACCACTTCACTGCAAAAGTTTTTAGTGTCAACGAAAACTTTTTCCCCCACTCAGACATTCCGAAAAAAAAGGCGCCGTTAAAGCAGATATATACACAAACACGAAAAAAGGTACTTAAGGATTGGGGTGGACCAGTAAGTCCCATTTAACAAGCTTTGGCAAACATTAAAGCAACAAATTCAAATATTTAGTACATTATGGCTCTTTTTTTTATTTTTAAAAATTGATTTATATGGTACATTATGTTTCCTTACATTCTAAAAAAAAGCCATGATTAAACTGACATAAATTGTTAAATATTGCCTTTTAATTTATTTTAACTTTATTATAATAATATAATTATAGTTTTAGTTTTTGGAATGTTACACAAAGTAAATTATGTTGACTTTCTTATATTATTTTAGTTTGCGTATAATCATGAGTCACCCTAACGCACACAATAATGGTTACGAATACAGATACAAACACAGATAAAAATGAGCATTTGATTTTATTTGCTTTGCTTCAATGCTGTCAATAAAACGAAGCAAAGGCGAGAAAAAAATTTGCAAAGGAAATAAATTATTAAGCTGGTGACGCTCGGGGGGATTGGCGGAGCGAGGAGCTAGGGAGCAGGGTCCTGGGTGTTATCATGAAATATGTAGCCACGGGTGAGCGGGTGAATAAATAAAAGCTGAGCCAGCTGCTTCTGCCCTCGGCTGCAGCCATTGAACTTGTCAGTCGGAATTTATGTTATCGCTTGCTCTCTTCTCGCCCTTTTTTCATCCTTTTCACCTGTCCAGGTGACGCAGGAGATGCAGCAGATTCTAGAGGGGCGTGGCTTCGAGCTCACCTGTCGCGGCAGCGTGGATGTGAAGGGCAAGGGTTCCATGATCACCTACTTTCTCAAGGGCAAGAAGCCCATCGAGGTCAAGGAGGACTTGGCCAAGGCCGATATAGAGCCACCCAAGACCTTGACTCTGGCTAAGGATCCCGAAATGGAGAAGCAGCAGGAGCAGGCCAAGGAGGATCTCGTGGAGCAGGAGGACGATTTGCTGCCCTCGCCCGACATCGACATGAACTCCAATATGCAGAACTTGACGGCACAGCGGAGGAAGTCCCTCTGCCGGCAGCATAATATATCCTCCTCCTTTGGCACCACTGTAAGCAGTTCCACGGGCATTACGCCCAGCATATCCAACAGCTCCAGTGTGGTCACCATCGGCACCCTGCCCGCCATCCTGCGAAGCGGCAACCCAAATCCGAGCTCCAACCCGAATCCCACGACCACTGACAGTTGCTCCGAGTGTGGCGGGGCCACCAAGTCCCTGGCCACGCCCACTGCCCCACCAAGGACACTGGTGGCGGATCTCAAGGACGAAATAGCCAGGGATGAGAAGATTGGGTTAAAGGACTCCATTGAGAACCTGGAGATTCTTTTGAAGAACAACATCAGCCTATCGGATCTGAGCAACAAGCAGCAGCAGAATCTGCGGGGTGAAAGCAGCAGCTCCACCACCACCACTCTCCGGAAAAGGGACACCATCGTGAGCTTCAATGTGACGGAGACGGTGACCACCACAGCCACGCCCTACTCCTCCTCCTCCGGGTCGTCCAGCTCCTCCTCGCAGCAGCCGAAGAAGCGCCGTTCGGTGACCACCATTGCAGCTAGCTTCACTGCCGCCACCACCACTCGACTGCTGTCCAATGAGAGCCAGAGCTCCACGCAGACGGCACCCGGAACGCTCGAGACGGCCTCGGTGCCCGGCCAATCCTCCACGGAGAACTCCTCGCAGGACTGGCAGCCCCGGACGGCCACGCTGGAGCCCAACCGGAGTCCCATCAAAACCTCGCAGTCCATGAGCCCCATTGGCCAGCTGACCACCGAGGTGTTCGTCCTGCCCAACAGTCGCAGCATGGTGCTCATTAGCAGCAGCACGAACGGATCCGTGTCGGGATTGTTATCGGGATCGGGCTCGGGAACGGGTGGCGGGGGCAGCAGTCCCAGGACCGGACACCTGCAGGATGTCAGCACGTAGAGGATGCGCAGGCAGCCGTGTAAATATGTACAAAACCGCCGGCACTTAGATGAGACTTAGAGGTAGCACTAAAGGTAACGGTAACGGTAAAGTTAAGGGTAAGGTAATGGTTAGGGTAAGGATGTAGCTTCTAGATTGAGTGGGCCTGCCCGTATACAATTACAATACAGTCGAACTTCTTTAGCTGCGAATTCCCGCCATTTATTTAAGCAACAGCAATCTCATAAACAACCTACATATATACAAACAATGATGAAAATATTTTTTTATGATAAGAGAAACGACTAACATATTTTCTAAATTTTGAATATAAATCTTATATTTAAGAAAATAAAATACCAATTTTCTTTAAATTTATTTAAAAGCTTATAAAAATCTTTCAATATCTTAATACCTAACCAAATACTTTAAATAATTGTGTGATAAATACATTTCATAAAAAGTAATATATTCCATTTTAAGAGAAATAGTTTAAAAACCATATAACAGAATTTAGAAATATAAAAACATTGATTTTTGAATTATTAACTCTATAAAGTTTTCAGTTACAGAAGTTCGACTGCAAAAGGAGCTTTTCCCTAACCCATGTATGATCTCGCATTTATTGTAGCTTTACATGTTCCTCAGTTAGCGTTTCAGGGCACCAACAAAAATGTAATTTCCATATCACACACTAAACTAAAGTACGAAAGCAAAGTTATGCACTTCAAATGGGTACCAAAGAGCGTTGTTAGAACTGTTAGGCATTCGATAGGTTGTAAGTTGGACGGAAGGTCCTTGGAAAGGAGTGTAGGTGTGTAAGGTTCCTATGTGTGTTTGCAGTAGAGTAAGCTAAAAATGGGTAAGTGTGCAAAGAAATCGAATTTAATGTTTAATGTTAAACGAACAAATAACTATTCTATGTTGTTGGGGAATGCAATTGTAAACTATGCATTGTTTAAATCATGTATACGAATTGAATGAGCATATTAAATGTATTTCCAACATTCTTTGATTTACATTTAACGATTCACTATAGTCTAGTCAATTCATTTTTAAGTTTCATAGCTTAATTAAAGGTTACGATTGCATTTCCCTGAAAGCCATATTGACACCAAGCTAAGGGACAGTATTCATCACAAACTCAATGGAACCATATTCCACATACACATGAAACATATCGAAAATAAGTATTTTCCTCTGACTTTTCAGGCTGCCCATAGCTGGTGCTCTTTCTTAAACTAAAACAAAAATCTGTCAATTGAAGAGCAACAAAAGAAAACTATTTAAAATTGTTGCACAAACGATATTTACTAGAATATAAGTTCTAATGAAAAGAGTATTCAATACAATTAACGTTAAATGTTAAAACAGTATCGTTTATATGTAAAGTTAAATGTGTTTCAATGTCTGTATGTCTCAATGTTGCTGAAAGCATCAACACTAAATATAATTAAATATAAATATTGATGCAACATGTATTATGCGTAAACAAAATGTAAAACCAAAGAAAAACCAACAAAATTCTCGCTGTGATTTCTATGAAGAAGATGAAAAAATGCATAAATTATTTTATAACCTTTTGTTACTTAGTTTTAAATCGCAAATTTTACGAAAGCCTCTCGGCCACTTTGACTACGCCAATATATTATAATTTAACTGCGTATGAAGTATCCTATAAAGTTTATACGTATGTATGTCAGTGTATTGAACTTGATGTTGATTAGCTTTGATGTTCAGTTTCAAGTTGACGAGGGCAAAAGTAAGCCCAGTCAATGTAAATGTTTCATTGTGCAGTCAACAAGGAAAATAAAAAAAAACAAAATGTGTTAATAAATGGCGCTATTAATTTGAAAAATCTACGCATTATTTATTGGATAATTCATAGTTATTATATTTACAGCACTAGGACTGAGAGCTCTCACAGTTTTCGGGCTCGTCGCCAAAGGCAGTAATATCCCAGTAGATGGAACCCGAAATAGAGCCCAACCATGGCCAGTAAATTGCGGTAGACATTACTCTCATTGAAGCTGTACTTGTCCAGCACATCCTGACCTGTGTGAAAACAGGGCAAGTCAGCACTCTCCTGGAAGCAGGCTTTACAAACATATATAGTTAGTTTAGTTTAGTTTCTAATATAGGGTTTACTTTCAACTCACTAATATTCTGCACTCCGGACCACTGAGCAGCGGTCATAGCCTCATTGGCATACAGCATCCAGGAGAGAAATTGCGTCCACCAAAATGCCACTGGTAGGGAGCTGGAAATAGATAGGAGACGATATAATAAAGTTCCTGAAACATGACTTAACCACAACTCACTTCACTTGTATAAAGATACCCGAGGTGATCATGAATATGTAATCCAGCGGCACCAAATAAGCCATGGCCAGGGGAACTGAATTGAATGCTGTCGAGAAGAAGCAGCCACAGGCTGTGGCCACATTCATCACCAGCACCACACACATGGCTGTCACTCCGAAGGCATAGAAGGTGGACCTCAGACCGGTCAGCCAGTAGCAGATTATAACGAATATCAGGGGCTCTAATATCATTCCAGGAAGCTGTAAAAAATATTGTAAAATAAATGTAATAACATAAATTAAAACATAAAAAAAATTAAAAAATAAACTTAAAGAGAAAAACTTAAACAAAAAGAACTTAAAATAGGTTTTCAGATGAAACTAATAAATGTATTAGCTCAGTAAAAAAAAAAAATATGATGCTTAGAAAGTTCTTCTTGGCTCAGTTATTTAACCAAATTTTATAAAAAAAAGGTCTTATTCGTTAAAATTGTCTTTAATATTAGGAATAATGGCCTTAACGTGGTCTTAACGATAAGCCTGGCATCGATTTTTAGGAAACATTGGCTCTAATATTGTTTCTCCATATTTTCATGACATAAGTAATTTTTTAAATTGTGATTTAGAACACACTTACCAAGGCCAAAATGTTGGCCGTATAATATTGCCCCGTGGAGTAAAGTCCGGATCGGGTCTCCCTTATGAACAGCGGAAATCCTTGGGGAAAGAGGTTGAGCACGGAGTACATGGGATGGTAGGTGTTCTCCGAAATCATGATGAAAAGTGCTCCCTGAACCGCCTGCACTCCCAGCTGCGAAGGTTCCGTGGTGCCGGCGAAACAAGCTCCGATAATAAATGCCATGGCGATCTTCTGGATGAACCGCATCCACTGGATCGTGGGATCCCTGAGCAGCGTTAGCGATGCCCTCAGCCACACCACGTGGAATCGCTTGTACCAGGCCACGCCCCTAAAGGATTCCACCTCGGTGTCGAAGGGAAAGTTGCCCGATTGGGCCATGTGAATCTCCAGATTCACCAGCATATCCCGCTGCTTGGCCGCCGAGCTGACGGCAAACTGATCGCAAAGGTGTTGAGCCGATCTCTGCGAGGCCTGCTCGTAGCCGGGATCGGTGGCCAGAACGCCAATGAGGAAATCCGCCGGATTGTAGGCCTCCGGGCAGTAGTATCCGTGATTGGCAAAGAAACTTAACGCGTGCTGAGGGGATCCGGTGAAGGCCACTCGTCCGTCGGCCAGCAGCATCACGTTGTTGAAGTTGTCGAACAGCTGCGAACTCGGCTGATGGATGGTGCATAGGATGGTGGTGCCCTTCTGGGCCAACTCGTACAACGTGGCCACCAGCTGCTGGGCACTGTAGGAGTCCAATCCCGTGGTCGGCTCATCGCAGAACAGAATCACCGGATTGTTGAGCAGCTCGACGGCGAAAGCCAATCGTTTCCGTTCTCCCCCCGACAGGACCTTCTTGTCATCGCCGCTGCCAATTCGCGTTTGGGCCGCCGACAGAAGACCGGTTCGCTCCAGCAGTTCCTTAATGATGAGGCGACGCTCCTCCTTGGACACCCGACGATCCAGACGGAGATGGGCCTGCGACAGAAGACGTTGAAGCAAATTAAACAGTTCTATTTCTATGTGATCACTATTTTGTTAACAAAGCTAAAACAAAAATCAATATTTTTCATTTCAAAACCAAAACTGGTAATGTTTTAAATTTGAACCCCAAATATTTGGTCGAAAAAATAAATAAAAAATAAAATATATACAATAAATGTGATTTCACAAAATATTTGTTTATGTTTTAGGTAAGAGATTATTCACAACACTATCACTGACAGAGTTAATAGACGCTATACACTGTATAGAAACCATTTCTAAACGTTATAAGCTTCTCGTGAGAATCATAATCCCCTGCAAATGATATAAAGAGTGTTGCCAGCTCACCATAAAGTTCAAGTGCTCGAGTACAGTCAGCGATCCGAGGAAGAGGTCATCCTGGTAGACATAGCCGCTGATGTGGTGCATGAAGGGCCCGATGCGGCGGCCGTTTATAAGAATGTCGCCTTGAACCACGGTCCCGGCTGAAGCGCAGAACCCAAGGCAAATGGAGCGGCGGAGATAATGGGGATCAGTCTAATCTTATCGGGAACTGCAACTTGGTAGTACTATAAAACTTACCCGGCTGTCGAAAGGCGAGCGTCGACATAAGTGTTGTTTTCCCAGAGCCACTGTGAATGGGAGATGCTTATTTTTAGAGGAATCTCTGCTTATCAGAGGGTTTTATGATCGCTCCGAAACTAAACAGCTTGACACAGAAAACACATTTTCGGTCATCGTGTACTTTTCGGTTCATTCCACTCGCGTGCACCTGATCTTAAGCGGTATTGATTTCTGCAGCAGCTTACCTTGAGCCCATTAAGGCCATCAGAGTGCCCGGTTGAATGGCACCAGTAGAATTGTTGATGATCCGCTTCATCCGCTGGCCGGAACCCCCAACATTGGTGTACACGCAGAGATCGCGCCACACCAAAGTGGCTCCCTGCTCCGTGGGCGACCACTTGCTGTAGCTCCTGAGGGGCAAACTCCTTTCCGAACTATTCCGTTTCGATAGCTTGGGAGTGCTGTCCAAACTGGGCACCTCGATGGTGCTGCCCATTGGCATCAACTGCAGCTCTTCCTGCTCCGGGGCCTCCACATCGATCAGCTTGCTATCTGCGTCCGACATAATCTCTGGCCTTATTAAGATATCACTTCTGGGGAATCAGATTTTTCTCAACCGAAGCGTGCCACAGCTGGGCACCAACTAACCAACTGAGCTCTGCTGAGAAGTTTTCACAGCCAAGTTGACAGTAAGATAGACAGACACAGTAAATACAAGCTAGAAGGCACTCCAGACTAGGGAAATGGCTTAGGGCAATACACTGGAGTTTTTAACTATTTGAAAAACATAACAAGTTAACAAATCTTTTTATAATTTCAAATGTTGTTTAAATAAAAATAAATAGGCAATAGGAAAAATAATTAAAGTAAACGAAAGCAATGCATTGATAGCACTAGTTTATCATCTATAAGAGAATAATAAAAATAAATTTAAAGTAAATGTGTAATGTTTTATACTTAAGTCCTTTTTTGACATCTGCTTTTTTTCCATACCAAATTTAATTTTAGACGAATTTATCGAGCAGTTTGAATGCAGTTATAGTAAAGCTTTAAAGTTCTGTTCTAACAAGCATAGTTTCAAAAGTAAACGCCATTTTTCCTACTATATTTGAACTAATTAACCTAAGCAATGACTACTGTGCTGCTCAGCAGTCAACAATGCAAATAAGGTAAACTTGGGAGCTGAGGTGCGCAGTCCACAATCTTTAGGGTGGCCCTGGCAGCGGGCATTCGATCGTCTTGCAGTTTACCGACCGCTTGGGAAGCAGCGGACTTAGCCGGCGACTCCGGTTACCATTGCCAGCGGAAAATGCAGTCCAGACCAACCCATCAGGAAGCCCCGCAGCGTCAGAGGCATCCAAGCAACCAAGCAGCCAGCGGAAAGACCGCCGTTGCCTCGGGAAAGCCGACAACCAGTTGGGAGCCGATTCTCGTCTCTGTTTTGCTCCCGGTTTTCGCATTTATATGGCACAAAAGGAGCCCAAGAAATTGATTCAAAAATTAATCTCTGGTAAGTTTCAGCAAATCTCACTTCTCTAATAATTTATTTTCCCAATGAAAGTAATTTGTGTTGCTCTAAATTACCAATTACCAACATTATTATTGGTAGTTTTAAAATATAATAAAAAGTGGCTGCTCTGAAAGCTTGCTTTCGTTCTATATTCTTCTTAATTTCAATATTTAAATAATTTCAGAAAATTGATTCAACGTTTTGAATCTAAGTTTTAGCTCGGTTTTATACAGGTATGTTGCATACTTTTAGGCAACATTATTTTTTCCAACTCGGATTTAGTACAAGAATAAATACGATACAATATGATACACTTTATACAAAATAACAAATTTATTTTTTAAAACCGCTTTAGAAAATTTTAAACGCATTCATTGTTCATAAAATAATTTTTTACAAAAAAAAATATATGTGTCATATTTCAGCATCTTTTGTAGTATCCAGTTTTGGCATTCAGGCAGAACATTTTTTGTCAGTCTGCAATAAAAAGAAATATAAGGTTAATTAAAAATAGTTACCAGCTTTTGGAAAAATCCCATTGCATACTTTAAATAATAAACAATAATGAACAATCAAAGAATCGATTTCAGTGGAGGCCAAAACAAATCGCTCAGTATCAGCATTTTCGCTGATAAGCCGATTTGGGTGGACAGAGCTGCTCTCTGCCATTCACCGCCGAGCTGTATAGCGGATAAGTCGCATATCAGTACAAAATAAGTGCAACGTAACGGTGTGCAATTCCATATATCCAAAAGGCAAACGTAGCAGAAAAAATTTCTCATAAACAAAACACAGTTGCTCATTTCACGCTGTAAATCAGTTTATTTATTATAAATCGCGTTGGCACCTGAAAACAGTTATCGCCCAACTGGCGGACAGTATTGTAAATCCAAACCTAATTGGTCTATAATTAAACTTATCGCTGCGTTAATTGCACGTTTTTGATCTTGAACGGAAAGTGAGAGTTACGTGCGTCTAGATAGGAAGGCATGGAAAATCACAAATTTCCGCTAGACGCTAGTAAAAATGGTTGAAAAAGTCGGCTTACACGTGTAATCAATACAGACAATTATGTCATAAAAACTGTCTAATTAATATACCCAATAATTGCAGTATTGGGTAATGAATCTAATCTATTGGAAAATATATGATGAGCGCTTATTGACATTGCCAAGCAAATGTGAGAAGAGCAACACATTGATAATCAGCAAATAATCTTTCGGAAAATTTTTTATAGCAAATGGCGATTAAAAAAATTCGCAATGTAATAATCTGGTGAAAAGTGTTACTTGGCGGTTAAATTTTGAATTTCAAAAGCTAAGCCGTAAAAAAAACCACGAGAGCATAAAAGCTTTAAAGCAACCCCTTATAAAATATAGGGGAACAGCATTATTTAACAGCGCAGAAGAGAGAGCGAGTGCGCAGAGCAAAAATGAGCGCCACAGAGGTAAGGTTAATGTTTGCTCTATTCTTTACCCGCTAAACGGTTTGTTTTTGTTTGCGACCCGGCTAAATTTATCAAACACGAAGTGAAGTGAGAGAACAATCCTAAAAAAGACTTCAACACAATTAGTTTTGATTTTTCGCAATTAAAGAAATCATATAAATTGGACCGCCGCGAATGATTACGTATGTAAAATGATGACCAAAAACCGCAGAGAACAAACAGAGCAACATTTGGAAAAAAACAGACACGCTTTAGTGACCTTGAAAACGGCATTTGTTGTGAATAGTTTCAGTAATTGTTTTTATATTTGATGCCTTGTTTAACAACGGAAAAGAAACAAAATAAATATTCTTTAAATTCCTACAATATAATTGAAGCAGCAGCTTATCGCAATATTCTTTAAATTCCTACAATGTAATTCAAGCAGAAGCTTATCGAATTGTTTACTCACTTACATTTTAGTGACAACGTGCGGCGGTGAACAAAGTGATAAAGTGGCGGTGACTAGTGAATGCTCTACTAGTTTCGGTACAGAAATTTCTAACGAAAATTTATAAATTCTCTACCAAACATATTTAAATATAATTTTATTCATAAATACAAAATTCTATAAATTCCATTACTTAAACCATAAATACAAAATTTTATAAATTCCATTATTTAAACCAGAGTCAAAACTAAGTTTTTTTAAATGTTAGTTACTTATATTAAAAGATAATTTTGTTTAAGTGAAAGTGTTGTTGATAAATTATGTTTTTTAGACGAACAAATAATTATTACAAGAAAGTTACAAAAAATTATGTATATTCGCTTGAATTACTAAACAAACCCTTGATAGTGCATCTATTGTAAGATTAAAACGTGTTTGAGTAGCTTGGCCTGAGCGCAATCCTCTCTTCAAAGTTGCCGGCATTGCCAGCGTGAAAAAAATTACTCCGAAAACCGTTGTCCACAATCCGTTGCATACTTGCAGGCACACTCCCAAAATGCGGCACAAAGACGGAATAGTCAGACCAGCGAAATTAGCGCTGCCAGCATTGTTGGCGAGCAGCAGGTCGAAGGGGCGGGTCGCAATGCTTGCCAGTGGGCGTGGGCCGTGGTCAAATCTATTTCCGTGGAGCCCACAATGTTCCTGTACATGTTCGCCTTCATGATCACCTCGGTGGTGGAGCAGAATTTCTTCCTGTACAAGTCCTGCCGCGTGAATAATAATTTCACGGAGGAGATCTGCCGGAATCTGAACAAAGCGGGGAACGAGTATTTCAAGAACAAGTCCCTGCTGACCAATGCCTGGTTCCTCCAGTGGGAGAACATCTCAGCGCACATCTTCCCAATCATTTTGGCCCTCTTTCTGGGCTCCTTCTCGGATCGGCGGGGCAGAAAGCTGCCACTGCTCATGGGACTGGTGGGAAAGTTTATCTATTCCACGATGATTGTGGTCAATGCCAGGATGCCCACATGGCCGGTGCAAAACATCATCTTCTCCGCCACCTTGCCGTCGGCCTTGACTGGTGCGGATGTGGCCATTTTCGCCTCCTGCTTTGCCTACATCTCGGACATTTCCACGGTGCAGCAGCGCACCATCCGGGTGACCATTCTGGACGTGGTCTATCTCACTGCCATGCCGCTGGGCGTGGCCCTGGGTTCGCACCTCTTCTACAACGTCTTCAATCAGTCCTACGCGGACATGTTCACCGTGAACGCCTCGCTGCTCGCCCTGGCCATCATCTACACTCTGTGTGCCCTTAAGGTGAGTTTAACAAAGTTTTTCTTCTAGTCTATAATATAAATATTATACAATTCAATTAAGATTTAGCAACTTAAGAAAACCAAATTTCTCTAACTTTCATTTTCTATATGAAAGAACCAAGTCTTAGATTTTATATTTTACTAATTAAGTTTGTATTGCTTTTTGTCCCAACTAATACGTTCAGTGGCAAACGACGCCAAAACAGCGTTCGCTGAGGGAGCTCGGTTGTTGTGGTTTCTGGGGCGACTTCTTCGACAAGCAGCACGTAAGGGACTCGCTGGTGGTTCTGGTGAAGCCACGGAAGGGACATCGGCGCAGCTTCCTCATTATCCTGCTGATCAGCATGGCCCTGTACACCTTCCAGCGGGACGAGGGCCATTACCTGTACATGTACACCCTCGACAAGTTCGACTGGGATGTGAGCGCGTACAGCAACTTCAAGACCTTCAAGTCGTCAGCCTACGTGATTGCCATGCTGCTGGCGGTGCCGCTAATGAACAAGATTCTTGGCTGGAGGGATACGGTAAGTCCTAGACTTCGCACAGGGCATATCATAATAGGGCAGTCATATTATTGGCACTATTTCGTCCTCATTGTGCACTTTCATCAAACTTTTTTAAGGCCGCGGTATAGTTTAACGTTTATGTTTTTTCGAGAGAAAAAATTGTTTATTAATATTTTTAAAATATTTCACGTTATTACATTATGAATATTAATCTGGTATAATAATCGCATTAAAGTAAAAAACAAAACTAGATGGAAATGTAATTCTTCTTTAGAAGTCATTTTCTTTTAATGCTTTCTTAATCATGCTTTCAAATTAACTTTATTCTTTCTATCGTAGACCATTATTTTCATTGGCACCTGGGCCCATTCGATAGCACGGCTGTTCTTTTATTTCGCCACCAATACGGATCTACTTTACGCCGGAGCCGTGGTTTGCAGTTTGGGACCGATAGTGGGACCCATGATCAGGGCAATGACCTCGAAAATCGTGCCCATATCGGAGCGAGGAAAGGTTTTTGCGCTTCTCTCGGTTTGCGACAATGCGGTGCCCTTCATCAGCGGAGTGTGCTATTCGCAACTTTATCAGAAGACCAAAACCAGCAACTACGGAGGAAATGTTTTTATGCTAACTATTGCCACACAAATAGCTGTTTTCGTGATGATACTGTAAGTGATCATTGGTGGAGAAACCCTTTGATTATCCTTTAATGATTTTATCTGTTTTCTATCTTTAGTTGCATTCATGTAGTTTTGGGAAAGAACTCCCTGGCCGTTCCAGAAGTTCCTGAAAATGAGAGCGGCCTTATTTGCCAAAAGGAGGATGCCCTTGTTATGCCTAACGAGGAGGATAAAAGTTAGCCTGACTTTTACACTATACTTTTATGATTCCTAAAAAAGACATGCAACCATGGAAGGCTGCTATTACATTGAAAATGTTACCAACCATAATTAATTATAAAAACAATTATATTTTTATATGTCAGGCTCTTGACTTAGTCAATAAAACTGACATATCGAACTGTTGCCCTATTTTTTAGGGTTGGTTTTCCACATTTAAACATATATTTAACTTTTTTTCTCCGTATTTAATGCAGGTAAACAATAAAAAGTATAAATGAATAAGGAGAGCTTTGGGGAATTATGATTATAAAAGCACTCGTACGCGACAATATATTTCGGGATATTAGAAAATGTGATTTTATTTTGTTAACACGGTATATATCAGCCATACTTTAAAATGATTTTTCGTCGACAGCGTAAGCAATCACAGTCATCATAAATTTATAAAAACCTAAAAGAAAATGTCATTATTGTTTGTGAAATTTAAAATCTCGAGTTAAAATTTATAGCAATTAAAAATGTTTTTTCTAATATTCTGGAAGGTACTGATTTAGCAACTTTAATGTTGACGATTGCGATAACATTATTATTTTTTATATGTTGTATTAGGAAAATTGAATTCAAAGTTTTAGTGATTTGCTTAAAAAGTAACAATTAACAAATATACAAGGACTTGCCCAAAATCGCTTCCAAAATCACTTGTTCTTAGACAGGGTACGCTGCTTCTCCGCGTGCTCCACCACCTGCTCGTCCACGAAGAGGCCTTTCCTCCGCCGGACACTGTCCATGTAGAGCTTGGCCCGGTTGGCGGAGTCCGCCTTCTCGCCGAAGTGCATCAGCTCCTCCTCGGTCGTGGGCAGCCAGAAGGGATCGATATCAATCACCTGTAAGCAGACGCAGGGTGTAAATTCCGGGAAATCATTTAGGCACTTGAGACGGGACAAAGGAACGAGGCGTCGCTGTGTCTATGCGCCTGCGCCTCGCATTGGGTTGGATTTGGGTTGGGTTGGGTTTATGGGCTGGGTTTTCTTTTTGGGCCTTTGTCTCATCGGCAGGGAAAGCGAGCATTGTCACATCTTCATTGTGCGGGCTCAAGAGACTGCGACAAAGGACTCGCCGCTTAATGACTTTCAAAGGACGCAGGGACACGCATTGCACGTTACGTGATAAGGCAGGCTCGCCAGGATACGCAGAACCGGAGAACGGGGCATTTCCTCAATGGCGTGAAGAGCGTTCCCTGCGCTTGATTGATGATTGCCTCCTGCGAGGCGAACCACTTGAGAATCTCTGGTGTGAGATCTGCATTGTTTTGTTTTCCTTTTTTTTCCAGCAAGGACTCAAGACCCAGCGGGCGGGCGTCGAGCTGTTCGCTGGAAAAACTCAGCTCTCCCACTCGAGCATTTCGGCTAACACATTATGATGCCCCTCATCAATGACCGAACTTGCTCGAAAACTGATTGAGATGCTGATGCGTTGGCCTTTTGTCATGAAGAAACTTTTCACTCCACAGCGAAAAATATCATAAGTATGCGGAAAATAAGTTGTTCTCAGTTATAATATTGTGGGTTTAAATAACAAAGAAGAAAAAACGGTATATTCTCCCCCGAGTCTCTAATCAGAGCTCTGCTACCATTTTATTTAAAAAAAAAAAATAACAAAAGATAGTTTAATTCAGCGCTCAAATAAGCTAAACCTTTTTTGTTTATCCTGTCAGACTTGGCTAAAAACAGGAGAAAATTATTGAGTTTCCTGTCTAAGCAAAGACACTTTAATAAATATGAATGGGCCTGCACAGTTGAACTGTCATTATGATGCTTTTTTCCCAGTGCGTATTCTGGGCCATCTGTTCGCACTACGCTAAACTGCGGGCCCTCGAACATCTTCGCAATCCCATGTAGATCATTATCGGGCACAAAGTTTCGCTTGTTTAACAACAGCCAACAACGCCAAGTGGGCAAGGGATCGAAGGGAACAATGGAAGCAGGGGCACGGGCACGGGCACGGACACTATAGGGAGCCAAGCAGTAGTCCTCGACAAGGTAAGGCAATCCCAGTTGGCAATCCCAGTCCGCAGTTCCCAGTTCGCAATCCCTGTCGCAACACAACAGAAACGCAAAAGCGAGGCTGCCATCCTTTGCAAAATGGTTCTGCGCATGCGCAGCAGCATCCCATTTTTCCATCGGTCCCCATCCCCATCCGCATTCCCATTCCCCTACCCATTGGCAACATTCCCACTCCAAATCTCGGGCAGAAAACGGAGGAGACCCTGTGGCAGCTGAAGTGCTCCAGAAGTGCGCAGAACTTGCGTCTGAGCCGGGCCAGACAAATGAGCAGCCAGCCACCAGCAGGCAGATGAGTGCACTGGCAAAAATCCAGGTGTCCCAAAATGACCATTTGATATGACATGGATTTTCTATATTTGATATCTCCTATTTGACTTTAAGGAAAAATTAAGCTTAAACCAAAAAAAAAAAAAAAAAAACAACATACAATTAACAATTTACCTTAAACCTTAAAAATGTGAGGGGAAATTATCAAACAATATTAAGACTTTACTTGCTTAAAAACCATGTGTTATACATTTTTCAGGAAATGCAAAGATTAATGTTACAAAATGATACCTTAAAAGCTGATGAATTATAAATAAGAATTTGGTCTTAAATATTTCTGAACTTTTTTTGTTTAATTTATCTTCTTTGTATCTGACTGCAAATCTCATCTGAATTGTATGATGTTCTACTTTTTGCCAGTGTCCTGTTGGAAAAAGAACGCACTTTAAACAACCGAAGAAGGTGGTTATCCACACGATGGCAGCACCACGCTCTAGATTACTCTGTCCCCCCTAATCACCCACTCCTGGTCTCCACCTCCACAACCACCAGTCTTCCATCGTGAGGTTAAAATATTAAGAAAAATATTTAAGAAGCCGCGAAAACCAAAACAAAAATTTAAAACCAAACGACGTGACATCAACACACACACTTGGTATGGCACTATATTATATGGTATATCTCTCTGTATCTCCAACTCTCTTTGCACACACGTGTTTTGTATCTATGTGTGCTTATGAGTGGTGTGTGTGAGTGAGTGTGTTTACCTGTCCGACCGCGCGCGGTTTGTATGCAGGTAATTTACGCGGCAGCTACCGAAATACGCTGCCGTCCGTCGGTCCGCTTGTCCATTTGTCCGTTTGTCCGCCGTCTGTCCGCGTCCGCGTCCACAACCAAGACGAAGTTGAGATTATTATCGCGCGCCAGAAACAGGCTGAAAGACTGTGAAAGAGACCGGGCCCAGAGAATATAACTCGATTCGAGTCGAGTTGATTCGAGAGACTTGGGGGCCTGGGTCTGTAAAAGTCTTCAGCGAACGGACAACGGACAGCGGACGGCGGGCTACGATGAGCGTCATTTTGACAGCCAGCGAGCGGACAATGCAAACCACGTTCCACTTAAGAGCAACAACAACAACGAGGGCAACAACAATCCTTTGGCCACTTGGATAAACACTTGCCTTGGCATGGATATATCCTTCACGGAAAAAAAATCAAGAAGTGTCTCTTGTTCTGTTTAAGATATTTTAATTTAATATTAATTTAAATTAAAAATGGTAAAACTAACATCAGTAAATATATTTTTTTTTGGAAATTTAATAGAGGTTTACTCAAATTCAAATAATGGTTGAAATTTGTATTCCTTTAAATTCGTTTTTATGATTTAAAAAACATAGTTAATGAAATAAAATAAGGTGGTTTTTGAATTAATAATTAACTTTTTGTAATGCCAAAGGTTAAAATCAATAAAAAGTATAGAATTTATATTACTTTCTAAGAAAAATCTTTAAAATGAGTTTCCATATCAATAAATTCGATTCAAAAAGATTAAAGTTTGATTAAGATGACTTCGAATTCTTCGTTAACTTGGTTTTTTATTTTTCGACCAGTGTATTTGTATGTGTGTGTTTATTCGCACCGGGCAGACTTTAGGGCACTGCCATGCTCTCCCCCGCCCTCGGGGCGAACCGCACCCCCTCTCCTATGCCCTGACCCCCGCCCCCGCCTCCACCTCCAACTCAAGCCCTGTCCCACCTTCTGCCCCCAAACCCCACTACCATCGACTGTCTCCACTGTAGACTTTCCCTTTGGTGGGGGGCAGACTGTGGCAGGTATACAAAACGAGTTATCAGATTATTTGTTATTTGTCTTGGTTCTTTGCTCACAGTTTGTTGTGGCCGTGGCTGTTATGCTTTTCAAGTAGTTCCAGAGTTCCAGAACTGAGGTCTTGCATGCAAAGCGCGACAAGCAGCAGGAACAACGGCAACAGCAACAGCAATAGCAACAACAACCAGAACCAAATCATATGCAACACTCCGGACCAGAAGAAAACACGGACTGCAGAGCAGTCCGAAAGTAAGACCAGTAGCCAAAGTTGTTATGTTTTTTTTGTTGTTTTTTCGGTAGGCTGCAGGTCTTGACCCTCTTCCTGCCCCGTCCCCCGTCTCGGGCACACACACACACGTAATCATAATAACAATCTTCGGGTTCATCAAGTGGCCCGAAGAGATGAGAAGTGCTGCAGCCAGCGAGGAGGTGGGGATAAACAAAAGGAAGCACAAAATTAAATAATAACAAAAGCGCGCAAGACAGTAGCCACCCGACGAACAGATATTTGTCCGCTAAACAGTGTGGCTCATTTCTAAAAGGCAACAGTAAGTGCGATTGTTAAAACTTTAACGTTGATGAACTGCGCTTAAAAAAATGGTTATACCGATCAATCTTCTGGCGACTGCCAAATACTGATGGAACAAACGACTTGTTATTTTGAAACTTTTTTAATTTTTACACGAAAGTCAAACTATTCGTAAAAACAATAAGATAATTATGAATTTATACAAAAGAACGTTTCTTAAAAGGATTAAAAAATTTACCAAACTGAAGTTGCAAAACTGCTAAAATTGTACTAATTGTACTTTTTTTATATCAGGATGATATGACCTGCCTGCGTTACATATGAACGAACAGAAACATTCAAATTTATTTAATCAAAAATGTATTATATGTATATGTATAATTAAATCATTTAAATTAAGTTCTGAAAATAAGACTAATTTTATTAACAGCCTTTTTTTCGAAAATACCTAGTTCACCTAACTACCCAAGTCTTAATGTCTTATATTTAACGCACTGTAGCCAACATTCTTGAGCTCCTGTCTGTCGTCTTAACGCTGCTCCGCGAAGTGAAAGAGCAACAGCAATAACAAGAAAAAATTATGATATATGAAAACTGAAAATTAGTTTTTGTTGTCTTCGGTTTCTGTTTCAGCTTGCAGCTCGTCTGCCAGCTTCCACGTTAGAAGGTCATCAGCGGAGATGATTTCTTGCGGCTGCTGATCCGGCGATGCAGATGCTTAACGAACTTATTGTGGGCCATGATGCGGCAAGAAATGTAAATGGCTTTTTGGGAACACGGTTTCCCCCGACCAAACCCACCTCTGGGCCCTTTTTCCGTTTTTTTCCCCCCAACCAGGAGTTGGCCACTCGAGTGAAGTTGACGCCTTCGTTGTTATTATGGGCACGTGACAACTGCGCCCACGGCCGAGAGCCCGGCCCACTCACCTGGCAGGTGGGGTTAACAAAAGGGGAGGGAGCGGTTGGGTCCAGGGGCCGGGGGGGCGGTGAGGCCACTGGCCAACACATGTGGGCGTCGACAAAGTGCTGAAGCCAACCGTTTTAATTGCTCACGCAAAAGGTAAGCTAAAATCCTAATTGTTTTCACTTTACCTTCGCCCAGCATAATGATCGAAATTGTAATCGAGTATATATTAGATACTTTTTCCACTTGTTAGCATATTTCTACTATTTAACGTAAATTTTGCATCTTAAAGTTTGTCGTAAATCCGTAATGCCTAAATGTCTTATATAACCATAAAAAGTTATTTATTTCAAATAATTAAAGTTTTCATTTCTTGAGTGCACAGGCTATGAATCTTTTTTTCTGTGCAATGCGACTTCTCTCCCATTTTCCGCCCCTTTTCCACTTTTCCTGCTGTCTGTTGGAAATGCGTAAGAAATTACACGAAGCAACGGCAACAACATCTCCGTCGCCGGCAAAACTTGAGCTGAGAAATAGAAAATCGCCGGAAGTCATTATACAAAAACTTGTTGTTATCGATTGGTTGGGCGATATGACCAACACTAGCATAAAAACACACCTATAAAGGTACTAATACCAACACAAAATGCACGCACATTGAAAATATTTTTTGTTCAGGCGACAAAAACCATTTAATTCGATTAAGATGGCTGGGTACAAGATAGAATTATGGAGTCTTTATGATTTATACAAAAATTGCCTTTATTCAAACAAATTTCTATATAAATAATATTTATTGTTCTAAATTTATTTTTAAATTTTAAAGTTTGAAAAACAGATTAACTTTAAACTTTGCTGCCTAATCCACACTTTTGTGGGATGTGCAACTTTATTAATTTTTGGCTGAGCTTAGCTCATCCGCTGATCTTGTCCCATCCGTTTTTAGCCAATACCATAAAACCGAAGGGAAAAAATCATCAACGTGACTGTTAATTGTGGCCCACGACAAGGTCAGAGTGCGATGGAGAAAGGAGAAGACTGGAGAGAGGAAGTCTGGTTTGGGGCTTTGGGTTACCTCGAATGGCACACAGCTGCAGCTTCAAATGGACCATATAGCTTTCAGTCCAACTGTTGCTGTTGCCATGTTGCCACTGCTGCTGCTGTGGTTTAGCTTATACGACTTCAACAGAAGGTAACAGAAGGCTCAGAACAGCGTAAGCTGAGATTTTTATTGACCACAGACAGGCAGCGAGAGTCTCGGGGAGAAGGAGCTGCAGATTGGGGGCAGGAATTGGGGGAGTACAGTGAGGCACGCACATGGCATATGGTCGGTCTGGCGCTGCACTTGTGCCCCAGCAGCAGCAACAGCTGCTCCAGCAATCTCTGCCAAATACAGTCGTACTTCTATAACTTAAGCCACTATTTAAGGTTCACAAGCTTCCATCAGTCTGTATTTATCTTATGATAATATACGTAAATCTATTAAATGGGTGACATTTTTTCTTATAATAAAATAAGTTGAATTTGTATTTTTTTTCGACCAATCTATATGGTTGTATAGATAAGAATTGCAACTAACTAAACAAATGCAGCGAAAACATTCTGTAAACGTGTCAAAAGGCAATAAACGTCTATATTACTCATGAAAAGTTGTTAAGCTTAAAAATACAATATATGTCACAGAAAAGATATTGCGCTTCAAGATTTAATAAAGAAAACAGTCAGTAATTGTTGTTTAGTCATCTAAGGACACTTGAAAAATTTGTGTTAACATTTAAATATATACGCTTCTGTCTTACTTTAAAAAATAAAATATTATTGGAATATGTTTGCAAATTGTTGGTTTTTTGGGTAAACTTTGATACGTTACAATTATTTTTAAAGTCAGAGAAGATTGTTTTAAAGAGTATTTAATTATTGCAATAGCTGCAAGGGTGTATTAACTATGGCTTTCCGAAACTTACTTATTTTTTGTTTAGATTTGACTAAAGAGCAGGTTTTCTAACCAAAGACATTTCTTTACAGAAACCTAATAGATTTGGAGAGTTGAATGTGCCATGTTCTACTGTACGGTACTCACCTCCCAGTGGCTGAACATGAGCTGGGGACAGGCCAGGCCAGATGTCTGCTTTCGCATCTCCTGGGCGAAGTTGAACGACTCGATCACCGGCAGCAGACAGGTGACCGCGAAGTTGCCGCTGCCCTGGGTCAAATCGCCGGAGAGGATTTTGCCGTGCCGCCGGCCAATTACCGCGTACATTTTACCTGCAAATGATAGCACAAGAGATACGTTCTTTGATCAGCTGTTGGTCGTTAGCTAGAAATCGAATTGGAAAAGGAACACGGGAAAAGGGTAAAGGGAAAAGGGAAAACAGAAACCTCCACTAACAATGGCCGCCTTTCAGTTGGAGTTCTCGGTTTTGGTTAATGCTCGCAGCATATCGCCTGTTCTTTTTGTTGTTCCTGGCGCGTCTCAAGGTAACTCGTAAACAAATGAAATCTTATCGGGTTTGGCCCATAAAATTGGCGGGCTTTCTGCCGAACCGCGCGCGTTTTTCGCTTGAACTTCCAAGTTGGAGATGGAGATCGTCTCCAGGTCTCTCTCGCACTCTCTTTATGCCCTAACTGTGGGCATTGTTAATACTATATTACTAATAGCCTCACAAACTTCTCTCAAACCAAGCTTTGGTTAAAACCAACAGCTTAACTTATAAGTTACTAATTAGGTAGTTTACATCAAAAAATATATTTAAAATGTTTTTAAAATCTATAAAGGTGATCTTGATAGGCTGCAAGCCTTTCTTTAAATTCAATGGATTCTTCAGTTAAGGTTTAGATCAAATCTTTTCTCAAATTTTTTTTAATTTAAGTTGCTTACATTAATTATCATTTTTTAAAGAAAACGTTTACCAGAATAAATTAAATTGTTCTAGTTTTTTAACAAGATTCATGTTTCAATAAAATATGATTTTATATTAAACGTATTATTGTGACAATTGTATATATTACTTTGAATTATATGTAAGTGTTTATTTTTCTTTTCAATCAAATGTTTTTCATCGTTCCTTTTAACAAATTATTTTCAAATAGAATTACCAATAACAAATAAATAAGTAGGCGTTGAAGGGAATTTAAAGCTTCGACTTTAGAAGAAGATCTTCCTTTCTTTATAAACTCTTTTCTGGATTTTTTTCTGCTGTTCTTTTTTTGGCATGCGCTACATAAACGAGGCCCAAACATGAAGCCACGGGAGAAGAAGAACGAAGAAGGCCAGGCCGGGAGGAGGCGGAGTCCAAGTCGTTGTGGCTAAGGCAGGAATTAGTTTCCGGTGCCGTAGTAAAGATGACAAAAAAACAACACTGCGGCCGCAAAAACGGCCGAAAGGATGCAACGGAAGCGGCAAGAGCCAAGCGGCTTGGCTACGAAACGAAACCCCTTCTTTTTGTTATTTTGTTGTATTTTATTTCGTTTTTTAAGCCGAGCACGCGAGCCAGAGACACCTTGCCATCCGCTCGCTCTCACCCATACCCATACCCACACCCATGTCCATGCCCATACCCCATACCCCATTCCCCACACCCCTACACATGCATACACCCATACCGCTGCATATGCATCTCACAGATACTCGCACGCACACAGGCGCAGGGCAGCAATGGATGCTGCAACCACCAGCGGGAAAGGCAGCAACAACATGTTCATTCATTCATATCCAGACGCGCTCTTTCATGCTCTCTCACGCTCTGCCTCTGCCGCTCGTACACTGAGAACAAAGAAGTTATAATTTGCAGCAAATATACTCGTAAGCTTGTTATTGCCAAATGAATGATTTAAGACACGAATGAATGTTTAACAAGAAACACATTCTAAACATCCAAAAAAGTTATCTTTCATATATTATTTTTTCAATAAAACAAATAAAAAATTAGCATTTTGATATTATGCCCTAAATGAATTACTTTTTATGTTATTGGTTAAAACCTTTCATAGCTCTTTCGTTCGGAAAAATAATATGGTTTATGAAATTCCGCTCAGTGTACAGTCACGCACGCACCGGCAGCGACGCGAGCAGAGGACGTCTCTGCCGGCTTCAGCGCTCGCTCGTTCGCCGTTCGCTGTTCGTTTTTGGATTTTCTGTTTGATCAGTTCGAAAAGCGAGTTGGTCGAGCGAACAACCACAATTGCGAGGGCAGCGGATACGAGACGAGAAGCGAGCGGTACTATCTAGTATTATACGTTGCAGGAGCGAAAGACGAGGCCACTGGACAACAGAGACGTGTCGCGGGTGTAACAGAAAACAAAACAACAAACAGAAACTAACGGAGAGCTATCGTAGTGCCTGAAATATCCAATAATTTCGAGTGACATTCGCCACAAATCAATCGATCGTTCGTTTTGAAACCTGATTTGTAGAGTTCGTTTCTGCAAGTGTGTGTGTGCATGTAAGCCATGGGTTCTGGGCGAGCGAGCGAGATAGAGCCAGAACACTGATTCGATTCGAATTCAATTACAAAATTCATTGAGTGTCAATTACAACCGCAAAACAAACCGCACGCACAAATCTCAGGAGAAGGAGATCCAGCGATCCCAAAGATCCCGAAGATCCCAAAGATCCAGATCCAGAACAGAGCCAGAGCCAGAGCCATAAATCATGTCTACGACATTGATGTTGCTGCCGTGCATGTTGCTGCTGCTGCTGACCGCCGTTGCCGTTGCTGTCGGCGGCACGCGACTCCCGCTGGAGGTGTTCGAGATCACGCCGACAACGTCCTCAGCGGACAAGCACAAGAGTCTGCAGTACAGCGTCTACGATGCCAAAGATATTTCAGCCGCAACTGGGGCGACCAGTACGGTGAAGCCCGCTGCAGAGCAACTGACCGTGGTGAGCATGTCCACGGCGAACGAAGAGAAGGACCTCGCCGAGTCGCGGCGACAGGCGCGACAAATGTTGCAGAAACAGCAGCAACACCGCATCCTCAACAAGCACGGCGAACGGGATTTGCGCATCCTTTACCAAGTTGGGGTGAGTAACTACTCGTAGATATCTATTGGCTTGGCCAAATTCAATTGATTAGCCTGGCTAATTACTAGTGTGGCTCGTGCAACATGTTTGCATTGATCTGGGCAAAAATAAAAAAAAAAACAAAATACAAATAAAACCAACAACTGGCAATGGCAGGTTGCATAATGCAGGCAACAACGTCAGCAGACACCTGTTCAACTGGTTGCCATTTGTAAAATACCCACGCCAGCAATATCCACAGCATCTACACAGAAAATAATATTAACTCATTAGATATATTTACTCAAAATAAAGCTATAATTCAGAATAACTAAAAAACTTGAAAGGTTCCAGACCTGAGTTCCAAAAAACGACAGACATCTCCCTTTATTTAAAAACAACCAGCCTGCATATTTCTTTTGGCTTTTATTGTTCTCAATTTAGTATTGATTTCAGCAATAAGATATTTATAATTGTCATCTCCAACTTGATGTAAATTTCGTTCTCTGTACAGCAGGTTTTGCAATGCAACTTTTTTGGGCTGGGTCCGAGTTTTAGTTTGTTGATTTTTTGTTTTGTTCAAGAAACTCTGGCTATATTTAGCAGCCGCCCTATAGCTATTACACTTGACACCCACAAAACCACTATCCATATATCACCACACGCATATGGCACATTTAATTGCAGCGGCAACACTCGCTCTAGATGAAAAATGAAAGTTGTTTGCAGCCGAGAGCTCAACTCAACTGATCTGTCGCATTTGATCAATTAAAGTCGCAATTGCTATAACCGAACGATATGAGCGATACCAAAACCAATTAGCCGGCCGGGTCAAGAGTTCAATGCTGACTGCTCATGACTAAGCCACGGTCCACCGAAAAGTTCTTGGCGTTATCTTTCCCCTTAAATCCATGACAGTGCGAATTCTGATCATAGGTCAAGTCGGTTCCATTGTTCCCACTCCCGATCAAGCCATAAATCAAGTGTTCATAGAGAGAGGGTGGGTGTGCTATAGACATACATATATCATGTATCGGATATCTATTATGTCAAATGTCATATGACAAAAACACGCCCTGAAAATCGAATTCTTGGTTGATGTTGCTACGAGGCCGAGGCGTGAAATATCAACAGTAATCAAAAGCAAAATATGCAATGGCACTGGGCAACAAAAAAGAATTACCCTTAAAAAATCATTCAAAATGTCAACGTTTAAAAATAGTTTATAAAGAAATTGTTTAAAACATTTAATTGTTTTATTAAATACAAATAAATCAAAGCGAAATATTTAACTTCTTGGACAAAATCCTTGAACGCAATCCCCTTTGAATTCCTAGACAATATACTTTTTAACCTCCTTTGAGCCAAGGGGATATGGTTCGACTTGGTTCATAAATTTTAAAATCCGAATGTCTGCAATAAATTTGGAACGCATATCAAAAAGCATAACAAAACGGCATCACAACACAACACCTAAAATAGACAAAAACAAAAAAGAATTCCTGTTGTTTGGAAACTTGCAATAAAAACGCCTTATTGGAGAATAGAACACAACGGAATAGATCCACAAAAGGCAGTGAATGAGCAGCTAGAAAGAGAGGGAAACAGGGGTAGAGAAAGAGATAGTCGTGATAGGAAAGAAAGAGAAGGAGTGCGGAAGGAGGCTGAGAGGGCGGGAGAGGAAAGTTGATGGAAGAAAACAAAAAGTTCCCATGCTTAAAAGCGCTAAACATTCAGTTCCGGTATTTAAAAACGTTTTCAACAACAACGAGTGAGATGGGGAGAAAAAGAGAAGGCTAGAGCAGGGGGAGAGAGAAGGGAGATGGGGAAGACGTGAATGAAAGAAAATTCATGAATGAAATACGACCACGACGACTACGAGAAGTCGATGATGATGGTCATAATGATGGTGGTACGGTATGGTATGGTGTGGTATAATGGGTGAACTGGTGGTGAGTGAGGGGGGTGATGGGGTGGTGCATGTGTGAGTGGGTGCACTGAGAAAAATCTATAACACATGTTCTATACATATATACAATGTTATTCAGAAGCAATTTAAACTTCACATTATATCACTTCATCAATTATATTTATTAATATTTCAATATTCAAATTGATACCTTTAAGTTTATTTCAAAGCATACACAAAACAACTTGATTAAAAAGTTGATTAAAAGCTGTTTCACAAATATTTTCTCTCACTGTACATGTGTGTGTGAATGAATGAAAACGTAAACGCTGGATGAGCAGAGCAGCCAGCAAATGCTACGTCAGCGACTTCAACTTTTCGCTTGGCTGGGCAAGTCAATCTATGAATGAATGAGTGAATGCCAAAGCGACAGACCGTCCAAATGTATGAATGGATAGAGCCAACAACAACAACAGCAACAGCAGAGATCGGGCAATTTGTTGGCCATATACAAACAGATCAGCCACGCATATTTGGCCTAAACAAGTCGATGTGTGTGCGCGTGGCATGGCCAAAAGCCAAAGAGTTTGGTTAAGGTGGAGGGGGAATGGAAATGGAAATGGAATATCAAAAGAGCCTGCCACAAATTCCAATTGACTGAGAAATGCATAAACAAATCAAGCATATACTCCGTTTCTGGCTATTTGACCAAGCTAAGTTCTGGTGTTGCAGCCAGGTGTGAAAATGCTTTATAGGCCACAATCCAAACATAGAAACAAGCGAGCCAACTGTGCGTATGCTAAAACCCAAATAATGCAATAAATATTTATGAAAATACATGTCCATATAAATCGAACAATTTTTTGTTTATTTCGACCACTCCTCTGAACGTAATTTATGGAACTTTTATGCTAATCAATACATCCGATATGTTTGAGATGATTTGACAATTTTTAATTTAACAATCTTAAAACAAGTTTTGTCAATCGTTGATCTGCTTTTGGGTAATTTATGCTCATGAGTTTTTTATTTCCCACAAATCATCAATGGATTTAAGCATCCTCTTGATGCGGAGGGAACTATTATTTATTTAAGAAAATATCAATGATTGTAGGGGGCTTCCACGGAACCTTCTAATTTATCATTCATTGATTAGCCACAAAACGAGAAAATTCTAAAGAAATGATAGATCAGTTTGAAACAATACAATAGCTATATATATACATTTTTTATCAAATATGATTTTGAACTGGAACATTTGTTGTAAACATTTTAATGTTGTGTTTTAAACAAAATCAACACATTAATCAAAATCTAGCCCTTTCAACAATTATTTTTTCTTATCATTTTAATCCCATAATAAATTGAATCGCGTTCCCCTTGATTTCACACATCATGTTTTCATAATTTCAATCTATGCTTTTTTCTCTATGATGGAATTTTTGGTTATGCTAAATATAGAAATTATTCAATGCGATTCAAAGGCAAAAAAAAAGTATAATAATCATAAAAAAGACAAACAAATATTGAAAGAGAGTAGACAGCGACGACAACAACAATGGCTACATATCGGTTAAGTGTGTCTGGATGCCGCAGACACAGATAGGCGCGTATATAAAAATATTTGCATAAAAAACAACCATCAGGCAACAACAGCATACCGCAATTATTCACCTAAAAAAATGCCCAAGTCTACAATCTCGGAGAGCTCCATTGAGAAAAAAGCCCCGTCAACAATAACAACAACAACAACCTGAGCCAACGGATGCTCGGATACCAAAAAACTAGTTTGCCCACTTTTTTCCCTCGACTTCTTCTTCTCCAATATATATACTTTGTTGTTGGCGCGCGCGCCAAGTTAACTTTTATAGATACAATATATATATATATATATTCTACATATATATATCATCTTATATGAATTAACAAAAAGCAGCTTACTAAGCTCGAAGTCGAAGCTTTAAATACTCTAAAGGCAGTGCTTGAATTTTTATACAAAAATGTTTGGTAACTAATTATTTAATTTAATTTAGTATTATAAGTTATTAAACTTAATAAACCGAATGGCGTTATACTTAAAATGAAATATTTAATAATTTTATCAGCCTCATTTGTCTTAAACATCGTTTTTTGTTAGATAACCCTTTAAGGAGAATTTGGATAAAAATAAATTGATTCAAATTAATTTTAAAACGTTAGCATGAGATTATCGATTGAATTTAAAGAAACCAACGCAGATAACTTTTTAGAATTTCGTAAGAATATAAATTTATTAAACCTCCAACTAAAAACTTACTGAAACAGGGAAATATTGAATTGGCCGGGAAATTCGTTATCATAATAAATATTCACTTGTCAGCCAAGAAGTCGAGCAAATGTTTCTATCATGTCCAGACCTCCATCCTCTTGATATTGTTGATCAATAAGGTCATTCATTTGGTTTGCCCCTATTGTTCGGCTGTCTTAGCTTTGTGCCACTTTTCGAACACATTTCTCTGTCCGCTAGCCAGGCGGAAATGTGGCTTGGAACACTTCCGCTTTTGCTGGCCAAGAAGCGAGAGAAAGAGACCTTGTTACAGTTATTGATGGACACGTTCCCATTTCCCAGACACTGGGGGTATCTGGGGGCTTTTTCCGATCGTGTAAGTGTGCTAATTACGTGCCCAAAGCGCAATTTGTTTACAATAATATCAAAACAACAAGAAGAGAAAAAGTAAACCGATGGCGGGGCAAAAAAATAAATTAACTATAAATAAGCAAAGGCCAACAACGAATGCTCGTCTTCGGTTGTTGCTGGATTTCATTCATAAAAACACACGCAGACGGCGAGTAAACAACGAATTTGAGTGGATGGGGTGTTACAAAGGGGGCAGCAGGAAGGCAACAGGGCGTGGCACTGCGAGTTGCTCGTAATTATCAGACAAAACAAGCGAAAAACAGTTGCAAGCGTTTCGGTGGCGTTTTGCGCGCGTTTTTTGCGGAAAAAATATATATATAGACAAAAAAAAAAGCGAACTGGCAAAGCCTGTTTACTCTTAAAGCCGGGTAACTTTTCATTTAGCTAGCTGGCCATTCATTCATTCATAAAAATCCTCGCAGCAACACCAGCAAACCCAGCAGCAACAGCAAGAAGCCATCGGCATTGTAGTCAAGATTTATTTATTTGGCGGCAAGCGCGTAAAAGGAGACAACAGCACAGCAGCAACATCAGAAGTAGCAGCAGCACCAGCAGCAGCAACAACAGAAACAACAGCAACTGCAACAGCAGCAGCAGCAACATGTTTATAGCCCGCCATATAGTCGGCAACATTTTGCGGTTGTCTTATTTCTTTTTGGCCAAGGCAACAATTACAATGGCCAGAAAGCCGCAGCAAAAAAAGCCACAAACAACTATGCCACGTTGTTGCTGAATGAATGAATGAATGAATTACTTTTTTCCGTTCCGTTGTGGCAGCAACAGCAATAACAGCAGCAACAGCCACAGCAGCAACATCAGCAGCTGAGACTGATTGTGGTCGGGTATGTGGAGTTGAGGATGTGGATGTGGTTAGTGGATGTCCGTGTGCGTAGACGTTCATTAATTGTGACGATCAACAAGCTACGCAAAAATCAAGCAGCAGCAAAAAGGGGAAGTTGCTGATGTTGTTTGTTGCTGCTTCAGCTGCAATTGGCTGCCCCCAGAGAAACCAGTTTCCCAGTGATACCCTCCACAATCCTTGACAACCGAGAAGAGTATTTCAAATTTATAAGGTGCTTTGATACGACAAACGTCAGTTGCCGAATTTTTAAAAAGTGTTATTTTAATTATAAATTGCCGATCATGTTTTGTACAGGATGTCAGTTTGGAATTACAAATCGTCACAAAAAATATTTAAAATACTTTTAAAAACTTTTATGGGAAAGCCATTTAACTATTCGGAGTCATATTTAATTAAATGCATTATTTGAATCTCACTTTTTTGCAAAACAAACTATAACACTTACAAAAAACAACTAACATATTTTAAATTGTTCCTAAAAGAAAAAAATTAATTTAAGATTCTCAGTTTTTCTGTTAAAATCATCTTAGGGTATCTGAACTTCCGCAATGCTTTTTTGAGCTGACATTCTTATAATTTTTCTGCTGTTGTCTGTTGGCTTTTGCCCGCTTCCTTTTGGAATTTCTCCTGTTTTATGAATGAAAATGTTTTTTCTCTGCTTGTTTGCGGTTGGGGCCTGCTTCCGTTAAGGCATATTATAAACATATATATTTATATATATATATATAAACCAAGCCGAAGTGGTACGGTCAGCCTGCGTGCCTCTGGCGATTCGCCGACTTGCCTATGCTAAGTATTATTATATGTACAAAATCAACTCGTTTTTGTTTTTGTCGAGGAGTCAGAAGCACACAAATCTTTTTTACTTCCGGCTTCGGATGGCATGAATCTCTCCAAGAACTCTAAGCCTGAGAGTTTTCTCTGGAATTCTCTGGGCTCAAACTTAGAATCGGAAGACAGTGACCTAACAACTTCCGTGTTACTTCCGCTTCTTCGGCTCCATCTTCCACTTCCGTTTCTAACAATTTTAATTGAATTTTCGTGTAAACACACCGACTTGAGGCAATATATAAGATGGGCAGACTTGACCAGAAACCCGGCGAACTGGGATCAAAACTGAGGCTGAGTCGGCATACTTCCGCTTACTCCGGCCACATGACGACGCCAGATTGCATAATTCTCTAGTCCAAAAAAAAGAAAAGAAAGAAGAATAACCCAGAATAGGAGGCGGGGGGAAAAAACAATGTGAAAAGGAAATGTATAGAAAAATCATTAACGCACAGACAAAAGATAACAGAGGGTATGGGTATGGGTACGGGGATAGGATATAGCGGAGACTACCTGATGGCCCAGCGCAACACACTTGTGGCAGGCGGCAGGCTGCTGCCATCCATCCGTCTCGTCTAACGGTTGGAAAATCGGAAAATCGGAGAATCTCCGGCCCGGACGTTGATCGTCGTGTGTGCGTCAACGCCCTCATGGGAACCGAAACCCCCGAAAGAATTAATAGGGTCGGGGGAAGGAGACTCAACCAACTGTTGCTGCTGCACCGGGAAAACTCAGACATCTTCCGTTTGTTGTGTGGAAATTTATGTCATTGATTGTCCTTCGGTTAGGCAGTTATTGATAGCACCAGATGATGGCGAAAACACACACACACACAAAAAAAACACAATGCAGAACAGGTGCAAAAGTCATATTTAGGATTTTGTGAAAGTGACGCTGTCATCCTTTTATAAGCAGCAATAGATTGTGCAATTCTATAACTATTTCAAAACTCTATTGAGTACAAAATACACAAGGTTTTCCGGGATTTGGCTTTATTTCCCTTTTATTTTATTTATTATTTAAATTAAATAAATATTACCTTTCTTTTAAATAACCATTTAAATCTTTGTAAAAACCCCCACTAAACCCCCACCATTGCTTTGTACAATTGAAGACACCTAACTTCCGTTGCGTTGAATGGCATTCCAGGCATTCAGGCAACCACATGAGGCATGACAGCAATGAGGCTAGAAGTAGCTCCAAGAATTCCACTGCGGGGAGTTCCCCGGGAGTAACATCCCCTCCCCCCTGCCATCCTCTTCTGGGGGTTGTGTGCGGGGTTAATTTGATTCAATTAAAGAGATGGAATAGGAGAGGGGTTCCCTTTCTCAGAAGGCTTTCATGGAAATCAAAAGTCACAAAAGTTTGTCAATGCTTGCCGCCTCACGTTGCACGTTGTGTCCAGCTGCTGCAAAGCTGAAAATGGGGAGAAATGGGGGCAGAAAGGGGGGGGCAAAGCTCTTTCATTGTCTTTGGCGCGTTCTCAACTTCCGTTGGCACTGCACTTTGACACATGAGGCTAATTGTTTGAATGCTCGGGGAGCGGTACACGCGTGCTGCTGATGGAGATCGAGCAAATTATAAAGTGTGGCAGCAGCTTGGACCCCCCTCCACCTTCTTTGGGGAGCTGTTAAACCGGAAATCCGGTTGCCTTCGTTCCCTCTCGACGCCTTTTCTTGTGTTTGCTTTTTTACTCACTTTTGTGTTTTTTTTTTTGTTGGACCGGCAAAACTTTTACTACTCTTCCAGCTTCTTTGCCAGCACAGAAACTTTCATGTTGTTTATAAGTTGAATCTACTCGTGCACGGAAAGAAATATAGTCAAAATGTTGATGTACAAACATTTGTAACAATAAATATTGTTTTTTTATAAGCTAAGAAGGTCTTTTAGGGTGTTATATATATGTCGATATGTTAAAGCCAAGTGTAACTTGTAATATATTTAACCTCCAAAAGGTCATCGAGAATTTTTCTGTGTGCACCTATTGTGAGCGGAACAGAGATGAGCTGATGGCATTGGAATGTCGTTGAAGCATGTCTTCTTTGATATGCTGGCCCTCAGTCCCGTGATTTGCTTATCAATATGTAAAACTTTATACGTATAACGGTGATGTCTTTGAAGTGCCATTTCCCGACACAACAAGAAAACAAAACAAAAAAAAAAGAGAGAGAGAGAGAGAAAAAAAAAAGACTGAAGGGGAAGAAATCTCAATAAACATGCTCGAATTTCAAAGAATTTCTCACGCTGCTTACTCGACGGACCCCCTTAAAACTCCACTTCTGGCATATCCTGTCAGGGGTGGATTGACAATGGTTTCATGGCTGCCCCGCTTAACTCGAAAAAGAATCTCAGCAATGCCCGAAGCTCCTCCATGAAATATGAATAATCAAAGTGAGGAAATATTTGCTCGTCGAAAAGGGTTAAGGACTTCGGCAGGTGCTACTGATGAAACTGGGTCAAAAATGCGTGGGAAACGGAGCGCTCGGAAATGAGGAAGTTCCGGAAGTTCCATTATAAAAAAATCAGGAAGTAAATAAAACTAATAAAGTGAATAAGGAAGGAAGGCAGACAACTTCCGGAGGTTAGGGAGGCGGAGAATGGCACCGAATTGTCATAGAAAACTCCGGTTCAATTGAGCAAAAAGGTAAAAGGTCAGGCAACCTGTTCCAGATTCATTTCCGCTTCGGCTACGGCTAATCCCTTTTCAGTATGACAGTGTGTGCACTCACTTATTTACTTCCGTCAGTTGCACTAAATCACTTCCGGACTTCCGGTATGCGCTCTCCAAGAAAAGGACCTCAAGGAATGACCCTAAACAGCTCAGGTAGCAGCAGGTGCAAGCAAAAAAAAAACCCAAAAATAATTTGAATAAAAATCAAGAGAAAAGAGGAGGAGATAGAGAGAAAGAAATGAAATTGAAACCAAACAAAAGGCAAAAACCCTCGACAAAAAAGGGATAACACAACAAAAAAAAAAAACCCAAGGTGCGCGACAGTTCCACTTAAAAAATTGATTGCTTTCGATAATTTCATTGGAAACCTGTTGTTGTTGTCGTCAAGCATCACTAACAATAAAATCGAATGATAGAAGGCATCCCAGCCTCTGGAGTGGCATCCTCGAAAAGCACCCATCAGTTGCTAGTTGTTGGTTTTTATGTTACGACCAGGACACAACACAATGCATAAGTTTTTATTGGCCCCGGCGACTTGGGCAAACAACAACAGCAGAGCCGAACTTTTGGGACTCTCTGTTTGGAGAATTCAATTAATGAAATGTATTTGTTGGCGAACAAACAAACACATCAACGATATCCTCCTGGCTTTAGTCGTTGTAGTTATGTTAATCAAGTTACCAAGATTGTGTTGACACAAGCGGCGGCTATTATTGTAGGGTTCGACGATAGAATGTTGCCTTTATGGTTTGTTTATCATATGGTAATTTGGCAAATAATCAAAGGGCACATCAAGAGGATAATAATAGACTTTCATGGCACAAAATCAACCTATAAAAATGGTGCAAAAATGTTTTGCAAACTTTAAAGCCATGTCTAAGAAAATAGTTCAGATGTATAGAGGTTCTTTTTTGCTTAACCTCTTAACTTGCTTTTTTTTAAAGCAAAATAATATCTCATATTGTTAGCAAATTTAAAGGGTTCTTAAGTTATATACATATTTCTAATAATTTGTTTGTCCTTTTTTTAATTAGGACTCTGAGGAGGATTTGCCCATCTGTGCACCGAATGCTGTTTGCTCTAAAATTGATCTGTACGAAATCCCCTGGATCGAACGTCAATGTCGCTGTCCTGAATCGAATCGTATGCCCAACAACGTGATCATCCATCATCACAGTCATCCGTCGGTATCTGCGGATACCCTGAAGTACAGAAATTACTACGAAAGGGAAAAAATGATGCAGCACAAGCGAATGCTTTTGGGTGAATACCAGGACAAGAAGTTCGAAAGTCTGCACATGAAGAAGCTAATGCAGAAGTTGGGCGCCGTCTACGAAGATGATTTGGATCACCTGGATCAGTCTCCGGACTATAATGATGCCCTGCCCTATGCGGAGGTGCAGGATAATGAATTCCCCCGGGGATCGGCGCACATGAGGCACTCGGGACACCGGGGCTTAAAGGAGTCGCCACCTACTTTTATTGGTGGCTGTCCCAGTAGTTTGGGTGTGGAAGATGGCCACACCATTGCGGATAAGACTAGGCACTATAAGATGTGCCAGCCGGTGCATAAGTTACCAGTTTGCAAGTAAGTAAACTAAATCATATTCTTGGCTGTGCTTTTAAGTTTTTTGGAGTTATTAAATACAACTATAAATCTCACAATATGTTATTAATGAGACAGTTACAAATATGCTACTGTAAGTGTTTCACTGACAGAATGCTTAAAAAATCATTTATAATTTTTCAATTGTATATAGACTTTCAATTATATATTAAAACTCGAAACAATTTTTGCACACATTAAGTTATATTTCAATAGCTAGTTCTTAAACATTTTAAATTTAATTTGCATTGTTATCTAATTGAAATGTTTTTGTTTTTTTTGCAGACACTTCCGTGACTACACTTGGACTTTGACAACGGCAGCCGAGTTAAATGTGACAGAGCAGATAGTTCACTGTCGGTGTCCCCGGAATTCGGTGACCTATCTGACCAAGAGGGAACCCATTGGCGATGGCAGTCCAGGCTACAGATATCTGTTCGCCTGTTCTCCCCTGACGGTGCGTCCTTACCTATTTTACCCTTAAAACTTGACAATAATGTTTGTTTTATTTTGTGCAGCGCCTTCGCTGTCAGCGAAAGCAGCCGTGCAAGCTGTTCACGGTGCGAAAGCGTCAAGAGTTCCTCGACGAGGTCAACATTAACTCCCTGTGCCAGTGCCCCAAAGGACACCGCTGTCCCAGCCATCACACACAGTCCGGCGTGATAGCCGGCGAGAGTTTCCTGGAGGACAATATACAGACATACTCCGGGTACTGCATGGCCAACGATTGAGGTCATCCCCAAGGGATCATTCCACACACATAAAAAACACTTTGTAAAGGAGGATAGATTGAGCGGAGGAGCAGCTACTACATAGATATCGACTGAGCCAATTGAGTCTCGCCAAGTTACCAACTAATGAGAAAGGAAAAACGAACAAATACAAGCTTAGAACTTAAAATGCACTTCCACACAAATCATTTTAAAGTTTTGATAGAGCGTGTTTCTTTTGCTACCAAATTTTGGTCATAAAACGTATGATATAAATATTTAATTAGTTTTAAGAATCGATATGTGCGCAGTTTGTTATACAAATAATTTGTAATGAATATTTATGAAAACAAGAGCAAAACCTGCAACGAAGGAGGGCATACCTTCCAATATGTAATATAGCAACAAACTATACTCGTAATCTAACCCGCATAAATTGTATATATTTTGATATGTATAACTAAAACAGTTTCAGTTATAATTTAAACGGAAAATACGTAGAGCAACGCAGCAAACGTCAAAGAGCAGGATGTGCCAAATGTGCAGATGGGGTGCAGTTAGTTAACGTAAGGATATATCATTGAATAATTCATAGCGAGGGCAGTTCGAAACTGTGGCAACTCTGGCAGCTGTTTAGTGCAATTTTTGTGACGTCTTCAGAGCTATTTCCCTTCAAATTCAGCAATGAGCTTGCAAGGAAATTATAATTAAAATAAGAAATTGCGCAAAGGCATTTCACTCCATGTAAACGTATAGTAACCACCATGACTCCTCCTCTTTCCTCTAACTATGCATATGTAAATCGATTTAAGCTACAATATTTGGTTTTTATAAAAACGAGCAACGAAATTGAGAGATGTTTGGGTTAAAACATTTTGTAAAAAGGCAAAAATAAATTTTTATTTATGAAAAAACTTGTAAAGTGTTTTTATTTTAAACTAAATTTAAAGGTGAATATCATATTTAGATATAATGAAAGTTAATAGAACTAGAATACCCTTGAAAGTAGGCTTTATGAAAATTATTAATTACCAACACAAACACTTATTAAATGTCGTTTTATTCACATACTTTTTGAGGCATTTGTGGCAATCAAATTAATTGCATACTTCTCGGCATGTGTGTAATTATATTTTACAATGTATGAACGTTTGAAAAGGAAAGTAATGTAAAATCAAATGTATCCAATTTAATATCACAATAGTATTTGTAAACTCATTATTAATTAATTTGAATTTAATACTTTAATAAAATATTATTAAAAAGCTAGTTGGAAGTTTACTAAAATTGAAAACCAAGAAAGCAGCTAAGCCCAAGTATTGTAAAAAAAGTTATGAGAGAGCGGCCACCTTAGCAACGAAAAATCCTCAAGCAACACATCAATCAGCAAAACGAATGAAACCAATTATAACGCCATAAAATAACATTTCATGCTAATAACCAACAATTACTGCCTTAGTTCTTGACCAAATTGCCACATGCTTTATGCCTCCATAAAAATTTTTCAACCGAAGAAGTGCTTCCTCTCTAAACTCTGCTCAAGCAAAAACAATTAAAACTAAGGCAAAAGTAAGCGTAGAAGCCAAAGCCAAAGCTTAAGCAGCTGAAAATGCAAATCATTGAAGCAATGTTGATTAGAAAGCAGCTGGCGGCGCCTGAAGAAGAAGTCAAGACCCGTCATATAATTAAATAAATACCTCAACCTCAAGATGCTGGAGAGGTTGGTCCATCGCTGCCTTGCCACAAATTCAATTACTGGCAATCCATAAAAACAAAGCAACAAAAAATTATGAAGAATTATGTTTTGCTTAAAAAACATTATGTTTTCCACCGAAAGAAAGAGGTGTAAAAATATACAGTGCGAAAAGGCAAGTAAATCGTAAAAAGCGCTCACAAAAAGATGAGTACTTTTTTATAACCTCAACCGGAAGATGTCGAAGCATGGGAGACTTATCCCATCGAGTCCATGAGGGTTCAGCGAATGCATTAAGCGGATCTATATTAACCATACAAGATCCTCAAAATCGTTTAGTGTGCCAACTAATTAGCAAAGATCTTAGAAAAATGCCCAGTGAAAAGAAGCCGCCACAGCAAGCGCATAGCCACATGAAAACAGACAGAATGGGCACAGCTAGAAGACAGTTTATAGCATTAGCCCCTTAACAAGACCCAGCAAAGACTGAGCAACCAACCAAAGTCCCACAGACACTTAAAAACTTTAATTAGATTTTAAGGAGCTCGGTACATTTTTCATTAGGCTCGCTGGCTGATGAAATTCAGTCTTTTTTAGCCATCAGAACAGACACAGACACCGAAATTGCCAACTGTTAGCCGCGAAAATAATTCATTGTCGCCCATTCCTCCGCCTTGTCCTCAATCTTGATCTGAGGTCGGCAATTTTCACATCAACATGGGATTCTTGTCCCCAGAAGTCCATGTTTTTGGCTCAGTAAAAGTCTGAGCTCAGAAAGGAGAAAGTAAGTGCTCTGATCTATATATGAGCGGCAATTAAATGTTCTCAAGGTAATAGGAAAGTTTACTGGTCTATTTTCTATTGAACATTTTTTAAAGCAATGATGTTTTTACTCAAGACAAATTTATTAGTATAAGTTTATCGAAAATACTGTCTTGAACGAAAATTTTGAGCCTTGCGTTTTATTTTTTTCTATATTAGGGAAGAAGAATTTACTAGAATTTACTAATCTTCCCAGTCTTTTAGGAATTCCATCGCTATAAGCTTTTAAGTAGCCCAAGACTTTATTGTCTTAATCAGATTATTTACCTAAAATCCATTTAATAGAATTCAAGCCCCTCTAGTTGCTTAAAGATCGTAAGTTAATCCGAATGAACCTTCAGTCTTATGTTGAGTTTTTCAGAAGTCATCTATCATATAAATTCCCAAGTAATTACTATTTTGGCGAAAGTTTCATCACCCATCAAAACGCAGCAGGTCCGAGTTGACTGACTTTGCTACTGTTGCACAGATGCCGTCGATAACTAATTATTTCCACTCATCTTTCAGCAGCAAAAGGAGGCAAAAAGCTGCTAAGGTGTTTGTGTTTTCAAAATTTATGAGCCATCATCATTGGCTGACTCTTCGACTCCTCCGCTCACAAAAGCAGGGATATTGAACCAAGCTCAGATGGCCGGCCATATATTGATTGATTGGCTTTGATTATTGGCCGGACAGCCGATGGCTGAAATTTGCATGCCACAAGCGACGAGATATTGGTTGCAGGGTTTCGGATTATTGGATCCGAGATTTATATGCATCATTAGAAATTGCCAACAGAGCTTCTTCTCTTTCACTGTTCGTAACTTTCTTTCGCATCATTAAAATAAACAGCAACAAATTAGTCGCACAACAAAAAAAAAAGCCAAGAACTGTCCACAAAAAACAAGACCCCAAAAACAAAGTTGCATGTCTTGTAGGAGACTTTTTGTATCACTGAGGAAAAATGAGGCAACTGATAAAGAGGTGACTGTCCCGTTTAAAAATAGAGTAATTTATCTTAATACAAAATATTAATAAATACAAAAATGTTATATATCTATTATATGCCTAATTCTGTAATGTATAAAAATTAAAATATTTTATTGTCTTCAACATACAATAAGATTTTAGTTTTTTTTTTCTTTTCTCTGTTATTTGGAATGTATTTCATTTGTTAAAGTTTATGCCGTAAAATATATAAACAATTTTCTAGATCCCCTGCTAGATTTTCCCAGTGCACGAAGAAATTTCTTTCGTGTCCGAAAAATTTCTTCATTTGCGGGTCACTAATTAGACGCGATTTGTGGGCCTGACCTGACATGCAATCTCCCCCAGAGGAAGCCACCAAAAGTGGGAAGAGGTGGCCCTTTAAATGGTCAACATCTGCATAATTATGCGTTGTTGGCGGAAGGTGCTTATGCATCTCAATGAATTTAATTGACCAACATTAGCTTTGGAATGGGTTGGGGATTTTAGCTCTTATCAATTTGGCCTGGGAGAAATGAGAAACAGAAGCACAGAGCCCAGCTCACTCAAATATAATTATTCTTAATATATATCTTTACCGAGGCGGGTACTTTTTGCGGCTCTTTCACCGTTTTTGTTACCTGGCCATACAGGAAGCACTTAGCTGAAGATTTCACCTGTTGCTTAGAAAGTGAAATTTCGTGGCCTTAGTCATTATTTTTATTTTCATTTTCATTTGTATTTTTATTTGTCTCAGTGAGATAATTTAAATGCGATAAGACTTTAATCAATGCAATTAGCGTAACAATTGCTTATTGATATCCGATGGATGTGGATTTTCGGCTGGACAAATTTCCTCAGATCTTAATGGCATTTTAATGGGAGCAGGGTGAAAGTTTATCGATTTATTTTTTGGAAGCTGCTCGAGGAAAATCTGTGATATGCAAAAAGCTGTGCAGTGCACAGAGTTGTTTCTTAATGGCGAATCCAGACAATGCAATAAACTGCAACAATAAAGCAATAACAGTAACAATAACAATAATTGTAATAGCCAAAGTGCAGTGCCAAGTCATCGCCGATGCAGATCGACAAAGATGCAGGCGAGGTGCGGCCGCAAAACGAAAGCCGAAAGATACAAAGATACAAGATGCAAGATACAAATCATGCATCACAATGGGCAGAGGCACAGCCACATGCATGGGGGCATTGAAATTGAAAGTAACACACGACTGCAACTTGATGATGATTTTCTAATTGCACAAAAGCCGAGATGACTCAAGTGCCTCAACGCTGCAGCATGAGCATTTTCCCGAAAGGTGTTAAGTATGCAAATGACGAGCAGCTCTCGAGTTAACATCTCGTTGTAGCTGCCCAGCACAGCAAACAACACATCAACAAAAAAAAAAAAAAAAAAAACAGTCATGTTGTAATATTTACAGCCAAACACATGATCGTGTGGGCGGGGTCAGCGCGCCTTTTTGGCCCAAAAGCGAGCGGTAAAAGTCGCCAGCAATTTTGACCCCACAGCCCCAAAGCGGCAGCAGATTCGCATCTTTCAGATACTTTTACATGTACTTTCTCTACTTAGAGTTTGGCTGGCATCGCACAATTTTTTTTCCGCCGCCTTTTAGGCCGCGCCTAATCGGAATTTGTGCGCAGGCGAGGAGGAGGACCCGGAGGAGTAGACCCCAAGATCACTGGAGATCAGTGGCAGCGACAACGCTTTGATGTTGTAATTAACTTTCATTAGACTAACCAAACAACGCCGAGAATCGCAAGCCAAAAAAATTATCGCAAAAAGCTTGGATAAACCTTAAAGAAATCTTTAAATTTGGAACTTCCGTAAGCGAATCTCGCATTTAAGTCTTTAGTTGGTTTTTTTTTCTCCGATTTTTTTTCGCAACTTCCAGGTAGAGGGGCAAACTAAATTTCACTTTCGCTACACAATATCAACAGCGATTTAAGTGTGTGCTATATTTAAGTATTTACTTGGCCAACAATACAAAAAGTGTGCACAACAAAAGCCAAGTAAACTTTAGCTGGAATACCCTGTAAGTGCCAAATGGGATTTAAGCATTTTTAGGGAAAACGTGCTACTGAATAACAAATGAATAATGCAAATTGTTTAAAATCAATTTGCCTTACATAATACTTTTTTTTTTTTGGTATTTGAGAATTAAAATAAGATAGTTTCATAAAGAAAATATTTTTCAACCAAATTTATTGTACTTCAAAGATTCAAAATTTTTGACATACTTCTAAAATAAAATAAAATGAACTAGTGGACTATTTCAGCAATTCTAACTTTTAACAAGGTATCTTCTTGTCGAATCTAAATATTTGAATTTTTACCTCCCAACTTCTATTTACCTTTTCAACTATTTCTTTTGGTCATGCGAATTCGTTTTCAAGGCGCGTTGATTGTTT